TGTTTATTTAAGTTTGAATAAACTGAATTGTACATGACGTTCACTTTTAAATGTTAATGGAATGTTTCATTGCTGGAGGAGCAACAATAAACCTGGAGCCACAGCTCCACTGTGTGGTAAAAACTATAAATACACAAAACATAACCAGAACACTTCCGTAGATCATAGGAGTCAACAATACAACATCTAGCAGTTAAACAAGAATTATGGGATCCATCTTATTGCAAGATATGCTCTGTTCCAAACCCTCAATTGACTCACCCTGTTTGATTTGGTTAAGCAATAGGATCACTGGTGCTTGTTCTGTTCATATTTCACTAATGCAGGTATTATCTAAACCCTAATAAATAGATTGCACTGCAAATAGTCATCCATCCACCTGACCATACTAGCTATTTACTTGATGACACTCTGAAATGTACAAGTTTCTCTTGTGCTTATTTCAGAAACTGGATGGATTAATTCCTCCAGACTAAACCGAAACAATATGAGCACAACACATTGTCTTCATGTCCTCATCTATCACGACTTGCAAGTGGCTGATATACCCACACCCACTCCGTCTTACAATATAACAGGACTATCGTGTTGCAAAGGGGTGGCAGGAAGATTTGTTTTCCACACTTCTGGGACTTGTTCCAGAAGGGGAATTTCACCATTCTTAACACATTAGCTGCACCAGGAAATTATGAGTCGAATGCACATCGGAAAAAGAGTCTGATTAACCCCTGCTGTGTGGCTTCCTGTCTCAGTTACAGTCAGTAAAAGGATTTAGTTTAATCTGATGCCAACTGCTTGCAAAAGATAGGCAGTAGGTCACACTCAGCTGTGCAGAAGATCACCCTCTACAGTAATCTAAAATTTCACATAAACTGAAGCCTGAAACAGTTTTTCTTTTCTTATAGGTTTCCATGGCAATGCTTGGATGGTTGATGGTAGCCTCTTCAGATTCTGTCCTTTTACATCTTTTGTTCTTAATTTGTTCTCTAGGAGGTGCAACCACCCACGCAGGTGCACATGAATATACTATGCACATTCCTGCAATGGCGTCACATTATTCCATTGATTTACAGGAACTGCTGATGTTCGGATAGATGCAAAAAACACAGCAGCAAAAGGAAAATAAGTCAGTGAACACCAATGTGACTGACTCATTGCCAATTAATTTGAAAAAAAATATGTTGCAGACAATAGTAGATTGTACTCTTTTGGCAGAAGTCAGGAATATTGAAGATGGTAATTGCAACGTGTCAAATGGACGTGTCATGAGCCAAAGTTTAAACTTGTTTGACTCTATTCCTGTAGTAGTTTCTTGGTGTCACCAGAGACATTAGACATGACAACGTCTGCAGTCTTTCGGTTTATTTTTTATTTACTGCCTGACACAAAAGTATGCACCTGAAGAAAGTCATAAAAGGGAATGACAGAATAATTGCAATTGACTGAAAGAATAGATTGTCTCACTGGTGGATTACTGGCACACCATAATGCCCAAAACAGTTGGATAAACAGTTTTGTTTGGCACAGCACAGCTAAGGCGTGGTTGAAATATGTTTTTATAAGAGGCGACCAAATTCAATTTGCCAAAACAAATTAAACATGATACATTTAAATGTCTGGCAAGCAGTGTCTATTCTAGGAAGAAATCTAACAGACAACAATCCAAGATGGGAAGAAATGTAGAAACATTCACAAAAATATACAAATATATGTGTTTACCCATACTTTTTCGGTGCATTTCTAATCTCATTTTTGTTGTGAAATAGAAGTTTTGCTTGATTTGTTTTTTAATATTCTCCATTCAAATCCCCATGTTTCAAAAGTACAAACAAACATGGGAAAATTATTTTAACTCCTCATTCATCCTCATTCTTTGTTTTCGCAAAGTTATCGAAACCGGTTCTGCATGACTCTGCTGCACGCTATCTTATCTTGTTAATCTCCTTGGCAAAAGACCAATTTCAGTACAACATACCAACCAGTTTTGACCATGGTTGAACATTTTGTGGGAAAGTCATCTAATTTACATTTGATATGCCTTTGTCTGACTGTGCCTCTTAGTCCTGTTCATGCTATACTTGTTTACATTTTAGAAAAATCAAAGCTATGCATCATGACAAAATGCCAAATGGAAAATCTGATTTCTGCATGTTGATAAGAAGAAGGCAAAGAGTGGCCACACCTGAAACAGCTGTCTGGCAGAAGACAGCAAACAGGTGACACTCATCTTCAGCTAAAAGTATATTGCAGGATATTACCCATGAAAAAAAAACATATCTTTTGTTATGGAAACTAAACTCCGTATTAAATTATATTCATATTACAAATTTTTCTTACATAAAAAAACACTGAAATGGTCTCATGGCAACAGCCCACATCTACTTGAGAAAGTTACATGGCAAACTTTTTTTTCTTCAAATTTGTTTGGAATTATGATCATTATAATGATTATTTTTAGTTGAGTGCAGTGATACAAAGAAATCAGCTTTATTAACCTGATATAGAAATGTATTTTAAAAAGCCTCGTCAGTTATGTGAAGATATAAAAGTCAGCTAACCTGCCGAGTTAAAGTTTCTTTGAGTGTTAAAATCCTCTTGACCCCCATTAAGACCAGAGTTCCCAGAGTTTTCGGGCACTGTTTTAAGAGGGTGAAATGGTTCATGCTCATGCAGTCAGTACTGCATGCTGGAAATGTATTCAACTAATATTCATCACCATCATACATGGGGACAAAACATAGTGACATTCCACTGGAGTCTGATTCTGTCATTTAATAGTTTGATTAATCAATGTTTTGTTAACATTAAATAAAGAAAATATATGAAATGACGCATTTGACTATACCCTTAAAATAACTTTGGTGGCAGATCCAGGTAATTAAAAGCTTTAGAAGTAAACGTTACACAAAAGAAACTGGTGTCAGAGCCTCTGAACAAACACACTGGAGCACTTTCAGAAATTAGGTTCGTCACATGAAGTGGGGGGGGTTTCACTTGCCTGTCGAGATTCTTAGGAATTATACAAACTTATTGTCTACGGCAACCAACAGTAGAATGATGATAGACAGTAGACACACCTGTATCATTGTTAACGACCAACACATTAGCACAACCACCTTCATCCATTTTAAAATCAAGTCATACAGAAAGAATATTCTTGCCCTTTACTGTAAAAAACAGGGGCACAATATGAGTACATCTGTCCACTAAGGTACCTCCACATCTCGTGTGCACCATGGGGCCAATAACTGGACCGTGAGGTGTATACTTTTTCCTTTAAGAGTCTTAAAGGAAAAATTGTGTTACCAAGTTGAAAATAGATAGATGGCGAGAGTAAAAAAGCAGAATCTAAAAGGGTGCCAACCAAGTGTCAGCCCAAAAAGTTGAATAAGGGTTACTTGAATGACCATTTAAAGACGTGACCTAATATTTCCCCTCGTGGGAGTATTTTTTAAGTATTGTGTATTTTTGCCAACCTCTTGCTGTAATATTGTTCAGAAATTCTACATAATGTTTGGTGCCCCAGTTTCTGTGAAGCAACCATTTGTCACAATCTACTGTGACAATTAAATATATCTTCATAATTGATAGAGTTTAACCTACTTTTGCCTGACAGTGATGAATGAAACGTGCTGGCTAAATAAACATTCATTTTGCAACGTTTGCTTATGGCCATCCTTCTTGAGCAGACATCATAGTGGAATGTAACTTTGAATTTACAATTAATTATCATGTATTAAAATACCAATAAGATGTGTCATTGGATCATTTTGATGCCTAGATTTGAATCTCCCTTAAAAAATGCTCATAATTATCCATAAAACATGTTGTAAATTATAGCAAATACAAACATGCTTTTGGATGATTTTGTATTCTATCTAGATACATTTTTCTATTTCCACGTTTAATGTGAATGTTTCTCTACCCACATGGTCCATCAGTGTTATGATAAGCCACACCCATGAACACAAAAGAAAAACAAGTTTCGGTGCAGACAGACATGATAATCCATTCAAAACAAAACAAAACATGAATTCGGCAGCAACTATTATTGTTTCTAAAGTAGACATCTTTCACTTTTTTTATTTTGAAAGTAAATACACCTTGCACTCTTTATAATAAGTATGACAGACTCTGAGTTTAGTAAGTTACTCTCATTATATAAATAAAAAATAAATCATGCTTCCGTTTATTGCAGGTTTCTTGTTTTTTCTTCTTTTTGACATATGGTAATATACCAGTGATCATTGTGAAAGCAGCTTGCCAAAATCGGACAAATACTTGTGTAATATAAAATAAAGGTCTGAAACTTTTGCATTTGACTTATTTTAAATTCATCACCAGAAGTTTTTCTGATGATAACAATTTGAAATGGTGATAAAAATAATTTCAATTTTGAATAAAAAACACTCAGAAATCTTTTTAAATTTCACCCTTGTTCATAGTATTTGGTGAATTAGAAGGTCCTGTTACTTTCCTAAACATATTCCTCAATCTGTCACTTCACTGATAATTATGCTATTGAGTTTATCAATATGGCATGGTTAATCATCCTCATTTTAGAATATATTTGATTGGTGTAACACTCAAATTGTGTAATAGACTGAATAAACTAAATTGAATGAACAATAGCAAAATAAAGAATACGCATTAGAAGTATCTGATATCTACGGTTTTCAATACTTTTCCATTAGCATGACAATTTGTCACGTCTGAGGACGTCGTTTTTAGGAACATGTTCAGGAGCAAGTTGAACTGGTCCAACGATATATATCTGAGCAGGAAGTTGTTTGTATGAACACCACTTCTGTTGGTTTCCCACATTGTCACACAGACACAAGGGACAAGTGTGTCACTGACGTGACAAGACCTTGATGAGCAGTGGCAGTGATTTAAATCTATTTTAACTCATTGGAGACAACACAAAAAACTGGAATAGTTTGATCAACAGAGCAATGAGAATATTTTAACATACATATACATCGTACGTATTCGAACAGTGAAAAAACAGGTAAGAAATATTTTTGGTTATAATATAAATTTGCTCAAAAACTGTATTTCATCACGCTGATTAGACATTTTTTATGGTTTATTTACAACTATTTTAGAACTTTATTGTCAGTCTCCATAAAGTCACCTTGCAACTGTAAACGTGTGTTTAAGAATTATTAATCATTCAAAAAATGAATAAATACTGAATCATATTCAGTTGGAAATGTTTCATTCTTGTTATATGTGCACAGGTAAAAATGGCACATCAAGATTTTGAAGAGGAGAGACCCAAAGACCCATTGGAGGAAATGACAGAGGAACAATTCCTCAAAAATCTGTACAACTTCATGAGGAAAAGAGATACACCGATTGAGAGGATCCCCAATCTGGGCTTCAAACAAAGTACTTACAGATATTTTCTGTTTTAAGTTCTTCTATATAATGTATGACTGGTTGAATACTGAGAGCTGGTATTTTGTACCAGAAACTATATCTAAGAACTTTACCATAGAAAAATTATGATGTCACCTCTGCACACATTTGTTGCAATGTCAGAAATAATCTAAGGCAACAAACACATTACAAAATGGATTGTAGAAATCAACAGTTTAATTCTTAACTTACAGACTGACAGATCCTGAAAAGTAGATGTGGCTTTCTGGATACAGAGCACACACATTTACATTTAACTGATTTTGATTAATCGTTTTTAAATTCACAATTATTAAATATATATATATATATATATATATACATACATGCATGCATCCATACATACATCTTTGAAAACTTCTAAACAAAGATTTTTTTTTTCAAGACAGACAGACAGACATGCATAAATACATACATACATACATACATACATACATACATACATACATACATACATACATACATACATACTTGCATGCATGCATACATACACACACACACACACAAACACACACACACACACAAACACACACACAGAAAGACAGACAGACAGTTCATCCTTCTCTCAAAGGATGAACTGAAAAGTTCATCCTTTGAGAGAAATCTATATCTCACCATATGATTTTAATAAATTGTGAACCAAAAGTTAGCCATACAATTAGTGCACTTGGGCAAAGACAACATGCAACTGAAGTCAGTTTTGTCATTATTGTTATTATTTTTTTGTCGGAATTTTCTACCATTAAAACAATCTTTTTGAATCACATTATTAAAGCAAACAATTGAGATCTATGGTAAACATAGTGACTGCTTACATGAAATTAAAAAACTTTTCTTTTCTATTTCTTCCCAGTTAATTTATTTTTGATGTTCAAGACTGTCAATGACCTGGGTGGCTATCATCAGGTAATATCTGATTAATTCATTCTTAATCTGTTCAATCAAAAAAACAGAATAGTCATTACACATGTTTGGCAGACCTGTAAAACCAGCAAACTCTATTTATTTTAGTTAAAACTAACATTAAAATAATATAAGTGAAAGTAAATTGACAACTGGTAACCGGTTGCCTGTGCATTATTTCAGGTGACTTCTCGCCAGCTGTGGAAACAAGTTTACAACATGCTGGGAGGGAACCCACGCAGCACCAGTGCAGCCACTTGCACCCGCAGACACTATGAGAAGTGAGTCCGATAAGGAATGTGTTATTAGAGGGTGGCACATTTTCTGAAACATATCTGTTTTTTTTTTTCAATTGCTGTTTTTTGTAGGCTGCTTCTGCCATTTGAATGCAACTTAAAGGGCATATTAGTGACTGCCGTCCCTCAGCAACCGACAAAGCACTACCACAGCGACAGAGAGGATTATGGTGGCCAGAGACCCTCGAAACGCCGGCTCTTATCGCTGCAGCTGGATCAGGTGGGTGTTATTTCAAACTCAAAGAAGACCATAACGATGCTGTCTTTTTCACTGATACAGTCATTAATGTCTTTAAACAGAACAAGGAAAGTTGCTGAGCAACTTGTGCGCAGTTTAGTTAGCTGTCAGCAATCTTGTCAAGTTTTACCGAGTAAACTACATTGTACATTACGTTAAACTATTTTTAAGGTCCTGATGAACAACCTATGTTTTTCCAACAGAGATCTCACAACTTCCGGTCAGACCCCCTTGAGAGTCTCTACCCTTTACCTCTACACTACCCTCCCTACTATCACCCAAGCCAACCAGTTCTGCACCCGCATCCCTATATCATGCACTCAGCACCACATGGCTTTGGCATATCTAAGCCTCAGTTGCTTTTCCATCCACCTCATCCCAACTCAACAGACGCCGCTAAGGATTCACTGGCTCATTTGCGAAACCTGGCAGAGCGATACAAATCCCTGACTGAACCTCTCAATCTGAGCGTGAAGGCATCGTCCCGGGAGACTGACAGTAATCCCATCTCATCGTTTTCCCCGCTATCCAACAAAAATCCAAAGTTTTTGAACAAACCCTCAACACTCTACAGCCCTCATCATACAGAGGTGCTAAGAAGTGAGGGATGTGAGACGGAAGATGGTGAGTCCAGTAAGCAGGTCACTTCCTTTCCATTCCCTGCAGAAACGAGGGAGCCACACGGCATCGATGCCAAAGCCATGACACCTTCCCATTGTCCTGTGTATGACCCTGTTCTGACACTTGGGGATAATGACAGCTCTGAAGTGACAGAAAAACCAAGCTCTCCACTATCAGACATCACCGTAAGGTCAGCAGAAGATGGAGCGGCAAGTCCAGAGAAAAGAGGGCTCAGCCTCAGTCATTTTTTGCAAACTCTTCCCCAACCAACGGAAGGCAAGATGGAAATTGAGGTACCGCTCTCGGTGTTCCGTAAGTGGCTTCAGTTGTGCGGCTCTCCTGCAATCATGCATGAAGCCAGGGAGCCTTCGCTTGCTGATCATAAAGAGCCTATCAGACAAAGGACCTGGTCTGATCTGGACATGTTCTCAAGTGATCCTAGATTTCCCCAACACCAAAGCATAACTGAGGATCTTGAGCCAAGGGGTGAACCAAGCCCCATGCCAATTCCACTAACAAGCAGAGCCCAGAGCTGTTCCAGCCCAAACCATTTCACCACTCACAAGCCTCTGTCTTTAGGTGGCGTTCTGAAAAAGGCAGCCAGCTGGGACCTGTGGCCATTTGATCATCAAGACATGGATAAGGCATACAACCTCAAATCCACAAATTCCTGGGACATCTGTGAAAATAAGAGCCTTGCTCCCTCTAACCCAGGAAATACGATGTCCCTTGGAGGTCCACAAGTTGTTGCCACTAAATTCTACGGAGAAGACAAAATACAGTCAGAGGAAGAAAACGTGGAGAAGGAGCCCTCAGCTCTCCGCTCTGGAGATTCCAGCTCTGCATCTGTGTTGCACCTCACCACAGAGGAGGTCATGAAGTTGAAGAAAATCATCTCAAGCTCATCATGAAGTACAGATAATGGCACTATGATAAAAGCACCACATGGAAGCTGCTTTATATCCTGCTCTCTAATATCACATCATGTACATAAGTTTTATACTTTGTAAAATAGAGAATCTGGGCGGTGTTACGAAATTTTTCAAATTGCTCTAACACTGCTTTGTAATCTTTAGCGCTTTTCATTATAATTTTTTTCCAAAACACTTGTACCCAGTAAAAAGTGATTATTGTAATTAACTGGGAAGGAATGTAGCACAACCCACACATTTGTTTTATTTATCTTTTTTTGTGTACAAAATATCACTTGTGTAATAAATGCAATCCGTAAATAAATTCCCCAAAATATCTAATGCTGTACTATATTTTTTACTTTTATTTAAGATTTTCTATTTTCCCCGTGTGATACTCAGCAATCCACAGTCAGTACTGCAGAACAATACCAGAAAATGAGGAAAATGGAAGAAAATATTACAAGAATAAAAATGAACAAACATTTGTGCGTGCTTCAGAAACATTTACTTTAATGAGCATTGCCTGAGCATTCTACTGCGTGGCCTTTGTGAATATGATGATTCTTCACAGATAAAATGCTTTGGATGTCCCGATGTAACAATGGAAACAAAGAACCGACACTCCCATCTTTAAGACTTCAAAGACAAAGTATGTAAACACATAGTCTACTAACGTCACGAAGGTCGATAAATGCAGAAAACTATTATGCCTCCCGGCATCTTTACTGTGTTTATTGTAAAGAAAGTTTGAACCATTAACAGGTGAAACAATGTGAAATAAGCCTTTGGCTTTCATGCTATGAAAGGCTATTTCAGGCAGATGAATTCCCATTTATCTTTGTTGTCCTCAATGCATTGTTGACTTAAAATTAAATGATTACCGACCTTGGAATGTATTGTCTATAGAAAATTATACATTTTACACTCATAGATAATAGGATGCTACTTAACCTTAATTTATTTTACTTTTGATAATCTTACAGACAGGATGTGTATTTCATATTTCAATTGAAATTAACCACCTTGTGAGGTGCTGTTTCACACATTCATGCTCCTACCATTTTTAGTTAACAGTATGTTTGGTCATTTGACATTAGCAGGCACATTTGGGAACTTAAAAAACAACGGCACACGCATATTTACTCCAAGGTTCACTTTAGACCCAACAAAACATATTCTTGCAAAATGCCTGGATCCCTCCCGCTGTGAGGAAACGCTGGTAATCACCACACCAAGCTCTCACGCAGCAGCATGTTTTTGTTAGTTTAATTAAATGTTTGCCACATAATATGGCTGATAGCTGAAATGTCTTTAACGGATCGAGTTCAGTGTGTGTTGTACACAGTAAGACTCACGGATTTCAGCACAAAATAAGTGTTTTTATAAATTCCATCTTGCTCTGTTTGACAGAACAATGGCTAATGAGTAGGTTGCACACAAACATACTTTGTAATTTCTGTAAAAGGATGAAATAGGCTCAGTATCCCAGTTTCAGTATCCTTATTTGAATGATTTGCTAAAATAACCAAGGGTATGGTAAAAGTACAGTGTACAGGTCACACAGCAGTAAATGAAATAAGCATTAACTACGGGACCCACAGTTATACTAAGAGACCCGATGCTGGGTGTCTGCTTTACAGCAGTCTCTCTGCAAGGACACACATAAAAATACGCATTGTTTAGTTTATTTTAAGAAATCAGCATGTACAGGTGGAAAGCTTGTAAAAACCGGCAGGACATATTTGCCATATGAATCAGCAGCAGACTCCATTTGTGGCTTCAATGTGTGACTGCTTGGATCCTAACTGAAAGAATGTGATCACACCCTTCAGTTAAGACAAGCTGGGTATACTAGACACATACCTTTAGTTTTGAATTAAACATGACTCCTGTATTGCAGTAAACCCTGTTTTTCTTGATATAAATTAAATAAAATATATTGCTATACAAGGTTACAATCACCTTTTACTGAATTTAAGGTGAGAGCTCAATTTTTATTCAGAATATTACTACTCAGATAGAAAGTTTTGACCCCTCGAGGAGAACAACAAAACAGCCAGAAGAGTTCAATAACTGTGGTGTTCTTGAGGATTTTAAATGAACTGCATTCATCACAGGCTTGTCCTTCTTGACCAGCTACAGTAGCCATAAATAGGCAGAAGTAGAACAGTGTCTCCCCTTTCTCCAGCCTTACTGTGGCAGGGTCATTCATAACTGCAAGAAAAAGATAAACTGAAATACAAGAAGTACAATGCCCTCAGTTCCCATTCATCTATCTTAAATCTTTTTTTTTTTTGTGTAGAGTTAAGAGAAGATAAATAATCTACTAGGCATTTATTAAAGTGAGTGGAGATGATGTGAAGACCAACAGGAAGTTGAATGAAAACTACATTTATTTAAAAGCTATAGATAAAAGTGTGGCCAAGACAGAACACCAGGACCAAATTCTAAAGAGTACACTAATCTGACAATGGTGTTGAACACAACAGAGAAAACTATGGAGTTCATTGACGATCCAGAGGGCTAAAATACTGTGGATGAACTGATTAGTCAGTGACGGGAGCTAGGATCAGAGACAGGTGTGGCAGTGTGGCGCACAGCCAGGCAGGAGGGAGCTGAGGAAAGATATTGGAAAGAATGTGGAGCTTAACTGAATAAAGGCAAAATTAATGTCAAGGTTAATATGATGCGACAACAGCAAAAAAGTTAATTCATGGCTAAACACAAGTTAATAGCATAAATTATTGTGACTTAACGAACAAAGATCGTAACAAAACCCAGAAAAGCCAAGACACGAAAAACTAAAACAAAAGGAAAAAAAGAAACCTGTGGGACTTAAAAAATCAGAATACAAATAAGGAATCCTGAAATCTGCACACTTATTAAACAATCCAGTCTTCAAAACAGAAACACTGCTGAGAAACTATCCAAACAGGTATCTGTAAAAATTACCGTAAGTTCTTATCTTGCCATCATTCGGTATGAGGATGTCACGCTTTTGATTTCAAGCCAAGACATTACAGGACTAAGACTTGTTACACGGATGTAAGCAAAGCCCATTGTATCAAATAAATCACACTAATCTCCAGGAAATGTACTTTTGTTCTTGGCTTGTTATCTGCAGAGAGGTTTACCGATCTTGCACGTTGGTTTTCTAACTTTAACGTTTGCTGATGAAATACTCTTGTGACACTTCAGTGAAACCTCTGACCGGTTTCTGCCCTTCCTCTGTACACAGTCATCACGCTCCTGAGCACAACCAGTTGCAACTTTTGTTTGCTTGTAAGTGAAAGAAGTCAAGTTGTAGGTCGGTGTTTGATGACATAGCACACAATGCATAAAAGGTACATCTATGATTCAGTCAGTGAGGTATCTGTCTTGCTTAGCTGTGATACCTTCTGTTAATTAATCTCACCACTGACCTCAAGAGGTGCATGAAAGACAGGATTGTTAACTAAGTCACTGTCTATTTTTGCTCACTACAGTAGTGAGCAATCACTATAATATGACCTAAAAGAGCAGCCAATGATTAGTCTTGAATCACATGACTCGTGACATGATTTCACAGAGCTGGTGGCGATACCAGTTTGTATAGTTTTTAAACCTCAGATTTTATCAATGTATAACTTCATTAGGAAAGCAGGTCATACAGAATTGTCTTCTTCACTCTTCATGGTAGTTTGCAAGTTTGTTCAGAATGTTTAACTTTACCAGTCACACACCCACATTTTCCCTTTGTTCCTGCTGTGAAATCCAGCCGTATAAGTTTTGATCAGCATGACCGAGATATTTGTCTGCAGGTGTTCGAGATAATACACCCTTTCACATCCACAGTGTGGCTTGTTGTCCCCGGTCATTGTTGGGTAATGCTCTCTATCTTTTAATCCCTCCATTTACTAAAACTTGTTTGTCTGCTTCCAAGCTTGTCATTGCATGGTACAGCGGATAGAATAATGACCTTTGCAAATCATATTGTCAGAATTCTTGGCATGGATAGACAGATGCTGTGTGAACCACAGACAACATTTGGATGCCTTTTCTGATGTATTCTGGGGTTTTCATCTATTTCTCATTGATAGATGATAATCAAATGAGTAAGCAGAGTCATTACTCTCTCTTGTTTTGTGCAGTCAGTAATGACTGTGGCAGCAATGCCACGCATTTGTTAATGATATATATATATATATATATATATATAATGATACAATAAGGGCTCAGTTACAGTGACAAACCCCCCCTCCTCTCCCATCTCTACGGTCCAACAAAGAATTTCTTAGCATTCTACGTTAGGGATGGAGAAGAAGGAAACAAGAACAGAGGAAGCTTGCCACAAGAGCAGCAAAGATAAATCAATCTGAAAGAATATACATTGGTTGGATGCAGAAAACAAAGAATTGATGGTACAGTCTTAAAAAGATCCTTTTCAAACAAAATTAAATTATAATGTTGGCTCTCAAGCAAAACTGTAGTAGTAGGTAGGACCACAGTAGATGTCCTTATAGTGTATCACTGGCATGAGGGGTTCCTTCTTGATTAATCAATTATCAATGCAAGCAAATTCAGATACAGCAACAATACAAATTATCAGAAAATCGGGTTTTCACCATTGATATACCATGAAATAATTTTGTAAGCATGTAAACCCCTACAATAACGTCTAGAAAACATGATGTCATCGTCATTAAACAAAGACTGATCTTAAAAGTCATCAGTCCACAATACAGTTTATGATTTTGTCTTCAAGGAGACCAAAACCACCTTTGCAAATACATGTTTGAAATAGTTATTTAGCTAAATTCTCTGTTTTAAAGTACATCTTAACATGAATTGTATTTAAGGTTTTGATTAACTGATACCACTGGTTTGTGTTTATGCAATGCTTATTTCCTGCCTAAGTGTGCTGGCATTCCTGGAACTTGATACTTTTATTATCATGGTGTCATCGCAGCACTGTTTCCATTGGTCAAAAATAAAGAAAATCAAAGATTATTTTTTACCATAGGTGACATAAATGTTTCTAGGATTTAATCACAATAATTATGCTTTATAATTGCCATGCCGTGATTTGCAAGCTTTTGCAAGCATCTAAGAATCATCTTAAGTCAGAGATTGTTCCTGTAATATCCACAGAGGACGTTAAACCAGTTGCACCACATATGGTTGTCTTGAACTCTAAGTGAGGAGGGCATCTGTGCACAGGCACAAAGAGATATTTTTAAATCTTTCTTTTTTTTCATTCTCCCAGCTCATCTTCAGATAATCTTCAGATAATGTGGAATGCACTTATTATATGAGATGGCTGCAGATTTTAACGGAACAGTGAAGACATGTAGACGTACAAAGATTGTAATGTTTTTAACGTGAAGAAGTGGCATCTTACAAGATTCACTTATTCTTAGTAGTCATAAGACAACCTGTTTGAACAACTGTTGATGCGGCAAGTACCGTGCTCAGCGATTGTCATCATGCCACTACATTGTAATAGATCAATGTTTGTCAATGTTTGAGTGGCTGTTAATTAATCGGCAGTTGCAATTGACACATTACACAAAATAATAAAATCCCATAAGTGTATCATTCTCAAAAGTCTTGTAACACAAAGTGTGTACGTAAGATTTGCAAACAAAAACACTTTCTATTTTAAACTTTCTTCATAATTTATTCGCTGAATTATAGAATCAGATTTTTACATGAAGCTATGTAGAAACCAGGCAGAAGGCATTTTTACAAATAATTGGCATTAATCCAAGTCTCACTCAGGTTATTGACATGTTGCTGGAGGGCCTTGTTCCAGCGCTGTGCTTCCCCAGGTGTGTGCAGGGAGATAGTATAGGTTACATTCCCTCCTCCTGGCTGTATTCTAATGTATATATTATGACCCTGTACAGTCTCTCTCTCAGATATACACATGCAGGTATTTGCTAGAATTTCTACATGAATTAGAATTTGTTCTTCGTGTTTCTGTGGACACACCTACATTGCCGGGCCATTTTGTGGTCTTCACTTTACAGTTGTCTTAAAATATTAATAGTTATTGACAACCTTTGGAAGTTCCAAAGCTGTAAACGTCATTTAGAAAAATACAGTTGGAATAAATGATCTGCAAATAAAAACCTCCTATTACAAATTTTGCACCTGAAGTTCATTTGACTAATTTTACATTATGTATTCAACTAGACATATGAAATACTAACAGATAACTTTAAACATCGGGATCAGATGAGCAAAGTGAAAATGTTTAATGTTGCTAATCATAACTGCACTGTGTTACAGCCAATACATTTCTAAATCAACCCTGTTATGTAATTAAATAATAATAATTTGTCATTGTCCTCCTGAACAATTGAAAGGAATATCCGTCTGTTATAGAGGGATTACACAAGCAACAGGAAAATTGTGAACCGGCAGAACTAGCTTCTTCTAAATGTAACTGGGTAGTGGCTCTGAAGAGGAAAGAAATATATTTGTTTAAGTCTTCTGGAAAATAAAAAATTAAGTGACTTGTAATTAACTTGTAAGTCTTATGCAGTGACATTAGTTGGTTCTATTAACCACTGCTATTACAAAATGTAAATGTATGTGTGATAGTGGCTAAATGAATTAAAAGGAAGTGAGAGGTAGTTCAATTGGAGTCTGAGGTCATCTGGTGGATGAATTAAGAAATGCAGGAATGGTGGCAGCTTCATAAATTATACAAAATTGTAAATTAATTTCCACCAACATCTACCACAGAGCAGCACAGGAAGTCACTCCTACCACGATAGTCACTCTCCAAAGCTCTTCCCTCAGTGTTTGACAGTTTCCATGTTTGTGCAGTGGTTTTTAATTACTGTGCTGTAATTAACAAAAAGTGGTGACTTGAATTCCAATCATCAATAGATTATCTATTCATTACAGTAAATCGTTGAGATCTGCCCTGTATATATTGTACATATGTAAATAAGACTAGACTGTATATGTTATTTCTGCATGCTTAGCAATTTTGTATTGTTTTTATTGTTAATCTATTTTAAAACTTTAAAATGTTTTAAAAGTTTCCTTTAACTACTTTACTATCTGTACCTATTTCTAACTTTTTCTGAGCTTAGTTTTTAAATGATCAAATCACTCTCCAACCTGAGAAAGGAATCTATGGAATGACAAACTCTGTAAAGACAGCAAAGGTATGCAAAGTTTGCAGTGTTCTGATTTTCTTTCTATAACAAAGACAGCATTAGCAGTGAACCCGTACATTTTCCAGAAAGAACGACTCTTTCTTCAGCAGATCATGACATAACATGACATGCCCATCTCAGAAAGGCACACCTACTAAAAGGATGTCTGAAATGTTCACGTGGTTTAGCCAATTTAGGTCAAAACAGCAACAAACATTTCTCAAACTTGTGCCAATTTCTGATATTCATTTCTTAAAATCTTAAAAATCCTGTTTCTCCAAGCAAAAATGTACTTCAGAATATCTTTTCTAACAAGATTAATATTGATATTTAGAGACATACATGACATATTTATTATTATGGACCTCAAAACAAAGGAATTACAGACAGGGGTGGGCTTGTTAAAATAGTAATGCCAGTAATTCCAGTGGGCCAAATCATTTGTCTCGATACAGAAAAGGATGTTTTCAAGTAATATTTTAGCTCACTTGACTTAATATTTCTTTTAAATGACCTGATATTTTGAATTTAGAGTAAATAAATTTCTAATTCAATCTATGGTACTAATAAGTTATCTCAATTGCAAGACTTAAGTCGAAGTAGCCAAACACCAGAGACAACCTAAATTCTTAATTAGGTTATAAAAAGTTGAAGTTCAAATAACCAAAGGAAGTCAAATGAACTTTTAAACACAAAATTGTTTAAAAGATGAACAAAGATGTTGATATAATATAAGATTTTTATTCAGAATAACATATGGTGAAGTTAATACATCTTGTAATTCAACAGATAATTTTAAGGCAGTCCTTTCATTTACATTTTGAGGTTGAAGCGTTTTAATTGATCAATTTACAGTGCTCTAAAGAACATAAAGATTTTTCCTTTTGGGGCAGCTTCTCTGTCAGTTTCTGATTTTCCTCCTTGAGTTCCAGATTATCTTGTTGCCACAGCTTCTTCTCTGTGAGCATAATTCATTTGTTGGAAGCCTAACAAAGCAGAGAAGTCTTTAGTACTGCGATGTGTAATTCATTCAGGTCCCAATCAAAGTATGGCAGCGCTGGACTCATTGTAAAAATGGTCACGTAGGACCACAAAAACAAAAAGTGCCTCCTCCATTGGGCTGGCAAACCCCCATACTATAGGCTGGCTATGGCAACTGAGCCTCCAGTTACCTCCTGTTAACGTGATCACTGAATGTGCTAAGAAAAGCGAATGAGTGTTGTAGTGAGCATGCACATAATTCAGCGTGTCTAACTGACAGCTTTATGACTGGTGCAGACAGAAAGAGTGGGATGGAGAGAAACAGAAAACTCATTAAAAGCAAAGTGAAATAACTTACAAACATACCAGTGAAACTAGGCAGCTTCTCTGTCAATTTCTGATTTTCCTCGAGTTCCAGATTATTTTGTCATGAGCTTCCAGCTCAAAGCCTTTACATGATGCTATAAGCCCTGCTGAAATCTCATCCTTCTCTTTTAATCATTTGGAGAAATGATTGTAACTTTTATTTTGATCTGCACAGTTTTGTTTTTGAAGTTCCAGGTTCTGTTTCAGTGTCTCGACTATTACATCATCTTTAGTTTTTAACATGTTCTTTTCCATTTCCAATGTTTCCTTTTTTCTAAATCTCCGTGTTACGCCTCGCACTTTGTTTGAGTGCAACGTCCATTTCATTCATTGCTTCTTGTGCATGTACATAGCTTTTCTGCAGCTCCTGATACACAGCAATCGATTCCTTCTCTCTTGTTAACAAATATATAGATGTAAACATGTAGACTTAAATATGGCTTCTGTATTACAGTAAATCATGTTTTTGTTGGTATATATAAAATGAAATATACTATCACCTTTTTCAACTTTTAAGGTGATCATTTAGTTATGTTTATTTGATTTGAATCTCTCATTTTTATTTAAAATAATACTAGTTAGATAGAACATTCAGATCCCTCGAGGAGAGCAACAAAACAGCAAGAAGAGTTCGACTGTGGCGCTTTTGAGGATTTTAAATGAACAGCATTCATCACAGGTTTGTCCTTCTTGACCAGGTACAGTACCCATAAATAGGAAGAAGTGGAACAGTGTCTCCCCCTTCTCCAGCCTTACTGTGGCAGGGTCATTCATAACTGCAAGAAAAAAAAAGAAACGGAATTACAAGGAGTACACTGCCCTCACTTCCCCTTCATCTATTCTAAATCGGATGTTTTGTGTGGAGTTAACGGACGGTGAATAATATATTTGACATGTTTAAAGATTTCTAATTATGTGAAAACCAACAAGAGATTAATTAAAAACTACATTTATTTAAAAGCTTTAGCCAAAGGTGTGGCAGATGCAGACTACCGGAAAATGAGACTGAAAGGAAAACGCTAAACAATAAATTAATCTTAACAATGGCGTTAAAAAAGAGAACATAAAAAAACTCAGTGACGATCCAGAGAGCTGAAATACTGTGGAAGCACTGATTAATGAATGACTGGGGCTGAGGTTTAGAAACAGGTGTGATATAAAACTATGGAACAACCGGTTCTCTGTGACATCTGAGACCTGTATCTGCCCTTTCTTTGTACACAGTCGTCACGCTCCTGAGCACAACCAGTAGCATTATGTGCAGACTTGAACTTGCAACCTTTGTTTGCTTGTAAGTAAAAGAAGTCAACTTGCGGGTCGGTGTTTGATGACATAGCACACAATGCATAAAAGGTACATCTATGATTCAGTCAATGAGGTATCTGTCTTGCTTAGCTGTGATGCCTTCTGTTAATTAATCTCACCACTGACCTCAAGAGGTGCATGAAAGACAGGATTGTGACCAAAGTCACTGTCTATTTTTGCTCACTACAGCCTTCTTCTAAGTCTTCTGATTGGTGGAAAGCCTACCTTTCCTTGTAGTAGTAGGAGAGCAAAGTGCGGATTTCATGTGACAAATCTGGGACCGCAGGACCCTTCCTTGGAGATGAAGGTGTTACTGAAAAGAATGAGGATAGGAAAATTATGAGTGTTGAACCACATCATGAACCCGTGGAGCAAATGATTCTGACACACGGAAAGGTGTATTTTACTCTTTACGGTAGTTTGTTTTTTTCTTTGCCAGTCTGTTCAGAACAATTAACTTTACCAACAACACACCCACATTTTCACTCTTGTTTTCCTTTTGTTCCTGCTGTGAAATCCAGCCGTATAAGTTTTGATCAGCATGACCGAGATATTTGTCTGCAGGTTTTCGAGATAATACACCCTTACGCATCAACACTGTGGCTTGTTGTCCCCGGTCATTGTTGGGTAATGCTCTCTATCTTTTGGATCCTCCTATCAACTAAAACTTGTTTGTCTGCTTCCAAGCTTGTCACTGCATAGTACATGGGATAAAATAATGACCTTTGCAAATCATATCATCAGAATTCCCAGCATGGATTGACAGTCTGTGAACCACAGACAACATTTGGATGCCTTTTCTGATGTATTCTGGGGTTTTCATCTATTTGTCATTGACAGGTGATAATCAAATGAATAAGCAGAGACATTACCCTCTCTTGTTTTGTGCAGTCAGTAATGACTGAGGCAGCAATGTAACGCAGTCATTTATCAAAAATGGATGATGACTACAATAAGAATGGACACCAGAATGGAAAAGATTTCACAGTAAGACATGAAACAAACAGTGATTTATGTGGGTATCTGCACAGTATTTTAAATCTAAAGAAACAAACAACAAGTAAAGCACATCACCAATAAGTTGGAGCATAGCAGAACTAAATGTCTGTTAGTTTGTTCACCATCTAGCCTCAAATGAATGCCAGAACCATTAACTTAAAGTGTGGGGTGTCATTCCCACCCTGCATATTTAATATAAATATTAGCGCTGTTACAAACATGTATGAAGCACGCCTGCATGAATTACTATATGATTACGTTGGTTTTGTCAGTTTGTTACCTATTTCATGGTACAGAGACCCCTGCCTTAGTGTGCTGGCTTTCCTTGAACTTGGTACGTCAATCTTCATGGTCTCATCGCAGCACTGTCTCCATTGGTCTAGAATAAATCAAAACAAAGGTTATTTTTGTCCATGGGTGACTAAAATGTTACCAGGAATTCATCACAATAATTATGCTGTATAACTGCCATGCAGTGATTTGCAAGCTATTGCAAGCATCTACAATACTTAAGGCAGAGAATGTTCCTGTAATATCCAGAGAGGACGTTAAACCAGTCCTACCACATGTGAGTGTCTTGTACTCTAAGTGAGGAGGGAGTCAGTGCTGAGGCAATAACAGAATATGTTTAGATCTTTTGTGTTTATACTCTTATACTCTTATACTCTGGAAAGTATTTATCATATGAGATTGCTGTAGATTCTAATGAAACAATGACGACATTTACACTTTGTACAAAGATCTAAATCTTTTTAGCGTCCAGGAGTGGCAGAAATAGGCATTCAGTCATCGTAATTTTGTCATTACATGGTACCAAATAAATATTCATCAATGTTTGAGTGGCTGGAAAGGTTTTCCAATTGACACATTATACAAATGAATGATATCACACAACTGTATCATTCTCAAAAGTCTTAAAACACAAAGTGTTCACATAAGATTTGCAACAAAAAAAAAGTCCACTTAAACTTGTGGATTTAAAGGTGCTAATTTAAAGACAAAGCTATGTAGAAAAGCCAGAGAGAGGGCATTTTTACAAACAATGTGTGTTAATCCGAGTCTCACTCAGGTTATAGACATGCTGCTGGAGGGCCTTGTTCCAGCGCTGTGCTTCCTCAGGTGTGTGCAGGGAGATAGTATAGGTTACATCCCCTCCCCGTGGCTGTATGCTAATGTAAATAGTATGGCCATGTACAGTCTCTCTCTCAGATACAGACACGCAGGTATCCTGGCAAAAGAAAGGTGAATATATAGATTCATTTTATAAGTTTGAAATTCTTCTTCATGTATCAGTGACACACTTACATTGCCAAGATATTACAGTTGTCTTGAAATATTGATAGTTATTGTTAAACTTTGTTGGTTCCAAAGCTGTAAATGTCATTTAGTGCTAGTTTAGAGCAAACCTTTCTGATGGGGATCACAAGTAGTGGCTTGTCCTCAGACTCCAGGTCTTCTCGACAGTGATAACAAAGAAGTGTTTGCCTCCTGAGGACACCATAGACATTTTCCCAATAATCTAAATCCTCTTCAAGCTAAATAGAGGCACAGAGGAAAAGGAGAATGTGAGTCTTTATCAAACATCATTTGAATATACGTTTGAATAAAAGTGGTGTTTTTTTTTTTTTAAATGGTCTCACCTTGACCTTGATTTGGCCACTTATCACGGGCTGAATCATGCATAAAGGCTGAGCAACGAAGCGACAGCACATGTTTCCAAACAGAGGCAACCAGAATGGGCTGTCGTCTGTATTACAAACAAGATTTGCTCATGATTTTCAGAGAGTGGGAGAGAAATGAAAATGAGGCCTTACACAAAAATGGATGAAAGCATGTAAGACTAGAAGAAAAAACATAAAAGAAAACAGAGCTAGATCATCACCTGCTGCTGACAGTTTCAAATCATGTGTCTTGAACCCATCCTGGACGTGTTCAACACTCAGAGTCATGTGAGCCAGCAGGTTATACTTTGGCCCCCTATAGACAGAAAGTATTAGGCACATCCAGTCATATGAAAGCAAAAACAAACTGCGAATCCACAAGACTTATCATGCTCACATTGCAGAATGCTCTTGTGACAAAGGCAGCGACGCGCGTCCATGTCTCATATCTGCCCCGGCAACAGGCCCACAAACACCTGCAGACTCAAACGCTGCACGGATCTTTTTCCCAGATGAGCACCCCAGAGAGCCCCCCAAAAAGCCCATTCTTCTGGGCGTTGGGAAAACTGGGGAGAAGTCCTCCACTGCACAAGCGCTGTACAGCTCCACCCGAAGCTGGAACCCAGGATCTACTTTGTTGCTGTAAATACAGAGGTATTTCTTAAAGAGGTAAAAAGCAGTGTGGTAATAAACTGGATTTAAGCCCTTGCGACACATGAACTTACAATATGATTGTGTTTTCGAAGCAGATGTCAGTTAAAGTCCTGTCTACCATCACTATGTCAGTGTCACGGATCTCTGTGCCACACTGGAGCAGGCAGAACACAGCACAGCGATGCAGCTCTGAAAGCAGACACAGAGAAACTTCCTGGTATATCTAGAAGCTCTGAAAAATGTATTTTTGTCTTTTCAGTATGTTCATTCAAGATAGCCAGATTTTAGTGCACATAGTGTTGACAAAATGTAATTGATGTTTTCCTTTTGTTCATCTGGCATTCACATTAGCATAGTCAAATCCTTGGTACACTTACCTCCTTTGTTTTTGAAGTACTCTGAGTCTTTCCACATGAGGGGGATCCGGAAGTCTGCAGAGCAAAAAAAATAAATAAATGAGGCTTTGTCGAAGCAAGTTCCTATTCCAATTCTACAAATTAGTTTATTTTTTTAAAGTATGTTGTCTATTATACCTGATAGTGCTACTTTTCCAGTACATGGTACTAAATCTTCAGATGATCTGTCATGAAATGTAAAAGATCACAACCATCCCAGTGCAGCACATAAGAGAGATGAGACATAATAACGTCAAAAACAGAGCACTCAAGCAATAATACACATTTCAGGATCAGACAAAATAACATGGTCAGTTAACACATCTGTTCACCAAAATGGGTGTTTCTATACATGAATAGCTTAGGAATGTAAGATATGGTGATATAAAAGAATGAAATATAAGTAAAGCCTATACATTTCTGTGTGTACACTAAAAGGTTTTTGTTTTTAATACTGACATCTAGAGGTTGGCAGGGGGCACGACAATCTCTGTCAACACTTTTTATTGTATTTGCTTTGTCGTAACACTGCATAACATACCATTGAGTTCCCACTCTACATCCCCCTCACTGATCTACCGCCTGTCCATTATCTCACACATACAGTTTGCATACAGAACACATTCAATCTGACCTGATCCCCGCTCTCTCTAAGATTTGAGCTCTCCTCATCCTCTGCAGTTGGCTGAGCAGAGCCAGAATACGGGTGTTACAGGTTAGCAGACTCTTGGAGGCCTCCAGGGCCTGGTCTCTCTGGGAACAGGCAGCCAGAAGCTTACTGGCCCCCTCCCGCATTCGCACTTCCCTCTCAATCTGCTGCAGCACCTTATCATCCTGCTTTGTGGGGGAGGAAAAAAAGTTTTTAAACAAAACTGAAAATGTCTGTGCATATATATTTAGAACGTTTTTTTCTAAAGTGGCAAAAAGATCCCCTGATAAAATCATCAATACTAGCAATGCTTATTGGTATCTTGTGTTTTGTTAGGCTTTGTTGTACAGTTACTACCCTTTCTGCTGAGAATAGGGACAAACATACAAACATGTTACATAAGAACCCAGAGCTCATGGGGCAACAGTAGTACTTTAGTGCCTGACTTTAATCCCTGGGAATTGCCCCCATTTAAAATTCCCTGGTAAGTTGATTTGATCAGTGTGCTGAAAGCCACACATGCCCAACAAACAATGTTATCTTTTCATCTGTAAATATAGATTTGATCACACCATCATCATACAGTAACAGCAAATACTTGATAACACTTTTTTGTAATGAGCTCTGAATTTTCCTTACCGGCTTTTGTGCTGTTGTGTTCAGCGTTCAGTTTTATGGAAACAATTAACAGTCTACTGTGAAGTAACTGTTTAAATATTAAAAATGTTGTCTGGAATACAAACATGTTTAAGAGATCTAAAATAGAAATGTTTGTGTTTAAACTGAGTTTTTAACCCACAACACTTTTTTATCCACACCAAATCATTCAGTGTGAATACATTTCACTATTGTTTTTACATTAAATACAAATTCCGTGGTTCACTTAGTTTTGGATTTACTGTGAATAAACAAGTCATGACTTTTGAATGCATCACAGCTTTAGGGATCAGAACAATATTGCATAATGAAGTATTTTTTGTACCCTAAGCCTTACTGGCATGTTTGAATGAATTATGGAGTTTCCTGAAGTGTTTCAGATGAAAATATGGCTTAAAATATGTATTTCATCTTAATCTCACAGAAATATGAGTTAACCCATATGAACAATCTGATATAAGGATGTGATAGACGATTTTATCAAAATCATGTATCAATGTATTGATTTCTTACAATTGATAAACAGAAGAAAAAATGCTGCATAATTTTCTCATAATTTCTAATCAAAAAATCAATCTATCAAATGCAAAATTAAAATAATTTTTTACATCTGATATTCTTTTATTTTTAAGATTTTTTTAAAAACACACCTACTGTATGTTTAAAAAAAGTATACTTTTCCGGATCTGAAATGTGGTCATGAGAAAGACTGACTAACCTGAGTCCCATCATTCATGTTCCTTCTCAGCAGTATCTCAGCAGACTGTTCCTGTCCCGGCACGGTCAGGCAGTACACCGAGTGAGCAAGCTAATCTCACAGCTGACTGAAACAGCACTTAGAGCGGACCTGCAGACGGAGCAGTTAGTTACTCAACAGAGATCAAAACAGTCTTAAGCCTCCATACGAGAGTCTGCAGCACAAGGGATTACAGTCTCAAACATAAGACTCATTCAAGCCGCTCCATCACTTTATCACATGCACTACTTAATAAGTGTCCATTTACAGCAAGAAATCCATCGTGTCATGTAGAATTGTTAAATAATTCTTGATGTACTTCATATGAACTAAGTTAATTGTACTTACATTATCCATCCTTCTCTGATGGATAATGTGATAATAACATGATCTAATCTAAATTTAAGGCAATGTATAACATCTTTGACGGTTTAGTTTTGTTGCTGTCTGACAAAGTTGAATTTCGCAGGACGGATATTCCATACTCACAACAAAACGTGACATTTTCTGTAATGAGTAGTCATTTGTTGCCAGTATAAAAGTGAGATAACATCTAATATGTACCCTCCCTCCCAGTAAACACCACAGTGAAAATAGTGCAGAGCTGTTCATGGTACTCTCTTTAATGCTCAACAGGTCATCAATAAACAGTTCAACAAGAATGCAAACCCCTTGAGTGGGAGACTGATTTACTAAATACAAAATGAAAATGAGGTACACAGAAGACATATTTATATACACGTGTACGTGTGTGTGTATCTTTGTATTTATAAAAAATGTACATGATGCCAAGTTACCATGTCATGGATCACTTTGTAAGACTAATGCTGTGGTCTGAAGATCGGACAACTACGACCAAAACAAACAAAACAAATCAAAACCATTATCATTTTACAATATTTACATTTTCACAGCTATTTATTAAAACGAAGCTTGTTAAACATTTAGCTTTGTCACCTCTGCAGTCTTAATAGTTGCTTTTTTGTTCAAGCTGCTTCAATAACATATTTCAGTCAGTTAAATTTTTAAAAAACATATTTCAGAGGACTGAAGCTACTGTACATGAGAGTGAAATTGCATCCAACACTAAAGTAAATCATTGCAATGCACAGAGAGAAAAATGCATAATTCAGTCATAAATAATCAGACCTAACTATTAAAAGAGAATATCTAAAAAGCCAAAAGCTTTTAGCTGTTATCCCTCGTCCACCTCAGTGAAAATGTCACTTAAGAAGTACTGAGACACATTGGTGGGCTCCTCCACAAAAAAGCTCTCCACACAGTCGCCTTCCTGGGAAGCCGAAGCCTGCGTAGAACAAAAGATCAGCTTAAAAGAAAAGTCCACGTGGGTGTATAAAAATCCGACTGAATTAAGGCTTACATCCAAATGTATCCTTCTTACCTCAGCTTTGTGGTGTGAAGTGCGTGGAGTTGGATGAAAGCAGTCAGAAGTTGGGCTGATGTCGACCTCTAAAGGAGCTGGTGATGTAAGAGCTGCTGAATGGGATTCCTTTGGTGGCTGAGTAACACTTTGTGTGGGAGCAACGTCATGTGAGGCAGAGTCAGCGAGCTCGGAAGGTTTTTTCCCTGTTTTAAATGGACTTTTCATCTTTGCTCTCTTAGACACTGCTTTAGCATTTCTGGCAGGTAACAGGAAAAAAAAAAAGAGGAGAAAAACACTCAATTATTCAGAGTTCACCAAAAGTATTTTTTGTTTTTCCTACTTTTTTCTCACCTTCTCTTTTTACACTCAGCACTTTGTGCAGGCTTTGATTCTGAGCGGCTGTCAGGATTCTTTCCACCAGCTGGCTTCTCCTGATCACTTCTCTCATCAAAGGCTTTTGGCTGCGCAGGAGGCTCAGGGTGCTCACAGTCCTGACTGCTGCTTTTTGGGTTGGGGACCTCTTCCGCTTCAATGGGAGCAGAAGTGGCAGGTTTCTTCCGCCTCCTCAGTGTGTCTGGGTGAAGAAGAAATATTTTTGTGATGGGAAAGATGTCCAACTCGCACAGAAAGCACATCTATGGACAAATTAAAGTACTTCTCTGCTGCACCTTTTCTCGCACTGTCTATTGGTCTCTGCTTTGAGGGCAAAATTTCAGCGCCACTACTTTCTAAAGCCTCTGAAAGTTTTTCATAAACAGACAAAAATACTATTTACTCTCAATAACTTGTACCCATCATCACCTTTTAAGAAGAAAATGTGAAAATAACTACCTTGTGGATTCGCTGTATCCTCCTGCAAACACACATCGCTCCTTGATCCTTCACTCGCAGCTGGTTCTGAACCAATGTCTTGTTTATCGATCACGCTCGTCACCATGCTCTCCTTTGTGCTCACGGGCTTGGTGGCATAAGGCAGAGGTCCGTGTCCTGATGCTGAACTCTCTCCGGAAACGCTGTCAGGAAAGTTAGAGAATGACACACCACACAAACCCTGCCCCATATCTTCCTGGATGGTGAGCTGATTAAACAAACACTAACCTCGGATGCTGGATTGATGCATCGCTTACTGGCTGACTAGGCAGGTGTTCAGCTCTGGTGTCCAGCACTTCCCCAGATGAACAGACCGGGATCTCGGTCAGGGAGAGAATAAAAAATGGCTCCTCGGGATCTGAAGGCACCTTCTCTGGCAGAACTGAGGTAGAAAGAGGAAGGATTTAATCAAGAACCGAATGGTTTACAGATTGAACTTTACACTTTGTGAGCGTGACTTACCTTCTGATAAAAGAGAATATCTTTGGCTCTCCTCAGTACTGGACATTGGTGCATTCTAGGATTTAAGGAATAAAAGAGAAAAATGAGGAAAAGCAGCAGCAGCTGGTACTGTCCAGTACCATCTACTACTGTCCAGTACCATCTACTACTGTGCAGTACCACCTGTGGTACTGCGTAGTAGTGGCAGGTTCCACATAGCAAATATTCTTATTTGATTCCCTTAATAAACTTCCACACTAAATGATGAAATAATAATGAAAGTGAATATTTTATGTAGATTTTCTTCATTTACTTAACCATGCTGCAATTGAACAAGTACGTAAAGCCTTTAAAAGTGTCTTTCTTTTTTCTTCTTCAAACCAAATCATCTTAATTTAAGATCTTTAGCTCTAAATCCAAACCTTTAGTCATTTATATGTAAAGAAGGCAGTTGGAAAAGAACTGAGATTCTACATATTACGTTTCATGAAAAAAGTGGAATGGTTAAGACAGCTGGCATGGAATATTGCACTATTACATTTAACTTACCAGGATAGGAGACAGCTGGGCTACACAACCGGGAGAGGACGGAGCATTATTTGAACTGAAGTCAGAGTTGCTTGGTTTATCAATAAATCTCTCTGCTGTCTCATTATCAATTACAGTTTTCTCATCAATAGATGCTTCTTCAACCTGCGAGCAACTTCCTGAATCTGTGAAAAAGAATTTATCATCAAACATCAGATATAGGAGGCTTTATCTGTTTAGGGTTCATCAGGGTAGGTCCTTTAAAGTCTCAAACCTGCTCCCGATGGCGTTATGTTCTGTACTGGGGGACGCTGTGGAGGACGAGTGCTGCATTTCAGGTTGGGTTTAGGTCTTAAAGGCCTGCCTCTTGATTTTTGAGGAGCTTTTATTGAAGTCTCAAAAGGGTCAGCTGTATGATCCGTGCTTTTGGAAAGAATAAAAACAGTCACGAGAAATTTGTTCATCTAAAACTCAAAAAAATAAACCAAATGAAATCCAAATTGTACATAACTTTTTTTTTTAACATTAAAACTTACTCTTGGACAGAACAGTCTTTCTCTGCATGCACTGGGCTGGTATCAGCAGCTGAGACAGAATGTGTTTCTGCCTCAGTGGAACCAACTTGGATTGACACCTTCAAATCTGAAGCTGCAGCCGGATCAGTTGTTAGTTGGTTAGTTGATGCCGTCACAGTTTTAGTACTAGTACGGTCCACTTTGTAATCCCTGAGTGAAGAATGATCTGTCTCTGATGGGGGATTTATAGACATTAGGTCTCCAGATGATTTTTCGACTGTTCCATCTGTTGTTCCATCAGATGTTTCCATTGGTTGTTCTTCTGAAAGCGTGTTGTGAGCTTCTGGCTTAGGTTTCCTGATGGCAATTCTACTGGGTGATCCTAAATTGGGTTTGGGTTTGCCTTTAGGAAACCGCTGCCTCCTCTGAGGGATAGCTTGTTTTGAACAAGTAGGACTTAAGACTTGTTCACAGCCAGCGTCTTTGATTAACTGTTCTTCAGCCTTCAATAGTCCTTTTGAACGTGTACGAGTAGAGGCCAAATCCAGCGATGGATCTGGATCTGAAGCGAGATCAGAACTTTTATTTTGCCTCGACCTTTCGGGAGGGGCAGCACTGCATGTTGGCTCTGTCTCTGCTTCTTCCACAGAGCTTTGAGGTATGTCCACCAGCTGTAAAAGTGTGATGGAGCCTTTTTTCAATTCCGGTTCAGATCTCGGCTCAGGCTTTAGAGATCCACTCCTCCCTGACTGACTAGTCGGTGCCACGGCGTCGTCCTTTTTACTTGCTGGTAACGGATCTGAAAACGTGGCAGGTGCAGCTGGCTGGTCATTTCTCTCTTGGACTGGAGCCAAACTAACATTTGACCCATGCCCAACTTGAGATTCTGTTAATGCTGAGTTGGTTGTCCTGACATTATTCAAAGTACTTTCTGTCCCAACGGTAGTCATTAGGTTTTCATCTGGGAGCTCGGTGCTGACCGGACCATCAGTGAGTGCTGGCTGGACTTCTTTGGCACTCTGATCTGTTGCAACGACGTTGATCTTTCCAATGAGTCCCTCGTTAGTGCTTTGACTCTGTATTTCAGGAGAGGGGTTGCATTCTGGTTGTTGTTCAACCACTGCCACAATTTTTTTGCCAAATTCGGGATTTGGATGAAAACTGGAGTCTTTCTCGTCTGGTTCCTTTATGGTTTGAGATTTGGGCCGGGCAGCTCTTGTCTGTCGTAGCTGTGGTTTGGGTTTAATTTTCGGTAATCGACCTTTCCTTAACTGACAGGCTGCAGAAGCTTCAGTGTGTTCTTGATGTACTTGTATTTTCTCCACAGGTTTAACGATCAAAGCAGGATTGCCACGGTCTTCTTCGGTTGTAGCTGAATCTACATTCAACCCTTGTCCAACCTGTAAGTCTGTGGCTGCTAGCTCTCCACAACTTTCACTTATTACTTCGTGTGATGTCACAGTTTCATGTCCAATGTCAGACACTGATACTTTGTCTGAAGGGGGGTCTTCTCTGCCAGGCTTTTCTGACACATTAGGATTTGATGTTGCTCTATCCACCTCCATCTGACAAACACCTCCAGAACGTGTCTGTTCTTCACCCCTCCCTTCATTATTAAAACTCCTCTCATCTGTCCCAGCATGCGGTATTAGGTTTTGATCTGCTGACCCAGAACATCTGGTTGTCTCCTCTTTACAGGACTCAAGCAGGACTTCAGAGCACGTCTGGTTTCTCATGGTGTTCTGGTCTGACGCTGCTGCCTGTTTATGCTCCACCTGAACAAAAATCCCAGTAGATGTTTGTGTCTCTTCCTTTAGAGGAAGCTCTTCTATTGTAAGAATAGAGGGCTTCACAGCAGAACTGGGATGGGCGCTTTCACTCTGTTTTTCGGGGAGGGCGGTGCATGCTGGTGTTGGTTCTGCCTCTGCTACTGTCGTTTTCTGGAACTCTGGATGTGCGCTTGAGTCTTTTTCTACTTGCTCTTTTGTAGCTTGAGGTTTAGACTTCTCAGCTCTGGATGTCAGTGGCAGGTTTGGTTTGGGTTTCATTTTTTGCGAGCGAGTTTTCCTCAAATGACAAGCAGATGGAAGTTTCCCCTTTTCTTCAGTGGCTGCTAATTTTTCCTCAGGTGCAATAACCAAAGTAGGACTGCCACCTCCTTCTTCGGCTGTGGCCCCTTTCACATGTGGTCCTGCTCTAATTTCTGGTTCAGTGACCACACTGTGAGGTAACACATCTGTATTACTTCCAGATGTTCCAGCTTTTGACATCAGGTTTCTGTCTATGAAAGTGGAGGCTGAAACTGTGTCTCTGATGGTCTCATCAATTTTGGGCTCCAGCTGGACTTCAGAATAGTTCTGTCCTTCTCTGACAGTCTGATCAGATGATGCTACATCTAATGCTTGATCAACAAATCCAACATGTGTGTTCATCTCTTCATTTGGTGGCTGCACCTCTTTGGGGTTACAAATAGGAGATCTGGTGGATGCTGGCTCCAACTCTGGGTTTGGGCATGAATGCAAGTCTTCAACTGGATTGCCTTCCGTGGTCTGAGGTTTGGACCTTGAACATTTTAATGCTCGTGGTAGGTTCGGCTTCGGCTTAACTTTCGGCAGTCTACTCCTTCCAGGTTTGCACAGAGTTAGATCTTTACTCTTTTCCTTCTGACTGACCGGTAAATCTTCCACAGATGATGGGGGAAGTTTTTCACTCTCATCTTGAACGGGGGCTGAGTTTGAGCATGAATCTTCTACAGTTTCCATCACTGAAGATTCTGAGGCTGCATGTTTATCAGAAACTGTCTTTTGTGTTCTGACATCGGCACTAAGGGTTTCATCTGTGGATTCAGATGCTGATTTCGTAAATGTGGTAAGTTCAGGCTGGGATTCAGGATAGCAGTCACTCTGGATTGTCAAAGACCCACAATCTGTTGTTATTACATCTGATTCTTCCTGATCAGCTAACATCTTAGTAGTACTAATGTCATCTTTAAACAATTCTGGAGCAGACTCTGATATCTTTTCAGTTTCATTGGTTTGAGAAAGGTTGAGGGAAACTGCTGGGCTCTCCTCTTCTGCTTCCCTTTCTTTTGACGTCTCTGACACTGACTGTGCAGTTCTAGGTGTTCGGCTGAGGTTTGGTTTAGGTTTTACCTTAGGAAAGAGCCCTGGCTTGGTTAGTGGAGAACTTTCATTGGGGTTCTCTGGATTTGACTGTAAATGAGTCGTTGGTTCCGTTTCACCAATCAGCTTGTCGCTCATTGGGTCATTGGATTTAACACCAAACGTGTCACCACTGTCTGCTTCGCTGCTTTCTAGCTCCACACTGGTAACGGTCTCTGATGTTTCTGTGGCTTTCTGAGTAAGTTCTGCAGACACAGAGGGAATGGCGATCTGATCCGGTGGTCCTTCCTCAAGCTGCCTGGGTTCATCCCCATCAGCTGCAATTACAGATAACGCAATGTAATTCAGCTGCAAATAAATTCAATTCTACAGCAACATTAGCATTTTATGTGTTTCGTTGTCTCCCACCTGTTAAGCTATCCTGCACAAGCGTTTCGATCTCCTCTGACTGAGAGATGTGAGCCAGATTACCAATGGTCAAAAGGGTCTGAGCAGCTTCATTGTAGCTCTCGTCCTGAGCTTCTGTTTTAAAAGGACAGAGGCAGAATGCATAATTGAAAATCCAAAATATGTTACATTCACTGAATTCAGCTGAGAATGAACCCACAACATACCTTCTGTGTGTTCCGAGGAGAGAAGATCTATAACATCCTGCAAAAGAATAAATTCACCACATCAGTTTTTCCTTACAGGGTATGCACAGAACACATGGACAGCTGCTCCAGTTACAATTCTATGATGCCTTTTTCTATCCTTCTCCCTCAGAGAGGACTATGTATGCCTACAGCTACACCTACTGTGTAGGCACCATTTGAGGGGCAAATTGGAGCAAAAAACCTACATGTTCTATAGACAGTTAATTGTAGATATTTTAGCATTCGTTCCAGTCTTCTGACTCATCCCAGATCTTTTGGGCTGTACATAGCAATAATGCAACACAACACAAATTCATGTCACCCTTTGAAAACCTGTTTCCCGTCTGTGAGAATGCAAGCTATTCATCCTGCATTTTTCAATTTTAGCAACACTAACCAGCCTAAGTTGATGTGAAAACCCCTGACTGCAGTCATAGTTCTTCAGACTTACATTGATAGCATATTAATCAATTTAACAACGTTGTTTGACATGATTACAGTGATCCCTGTGACCAGAAAACACATGTATAAACATTAGACATACAAATGGTAATATGGAGGGAAAGAAAACCATTAGGAGGTACTGGCTCTTTAGAAATGTTATATTAAAAGGAACCCAAAAAGAGGTGTAACTGGGGATTGTGATCATTTGACAGTTACTTCATTTTAGCTATTGTTCACTTACAACCAGCAGGTCCAACTGATGTTCACATGGCTCAGTAGTGCCTGTCTCATCTTGTGCCTGCTGACAAGATGAATCAAGGCACATTGCATCTTGGGAGATGCCCAGCACATCAGGCATACTGTCCAAGATATCAAGCTAAGTGTGGGATGGGAGGAGTGAAGAGTGAAAGGTTTGAATCATGTGATGTAAAAGCATGCATAAAGAAACAATAACACAGAAAAGGAAATGTTTGGAATATGAGTCATGAAGAAACCAAACGAGAGAATGGTGTGCATGCGTGCAACAAATAATGGAGAAACTGCTGCCTTTACCTCCACCATCGACTCATCCACTTCTGAGATCTCAGGATTTGATGTGTGGAGGCTGGTGGGGACAAACAGCGAGGAACCACTTTCTTTACTTGAGCTGTATGTTAGCAGGTTGTCCGTTTGCCCATCTTCATCTTCATCGCCACTAAAGTCCGACTTGGAAGATCTGAGGGTGACCAGTTTGGGCTTTTTTGACTTCAGGGCTGATTGTGATTTGGATGAGTTGCCCCTCTTGCCTATAGTTTTGGTTTTAGACTTTGAGGCCACAGGTGAGGCTGAAGTGGTTTCAGATGCTGATGGCGGGTCGTCTTCAGAGGAATAATTTAAGGGATGGGTGGGTTTAGGCACTCTACCATATCTACAAAAAAACGATCAAACACATACGTGAGAAAATGTTATGAAAAACAGCACATTTGAGTGTGAGGAATGTACGAGATCAAGAAATATTACCTGGTTGGTTTCTGTGGTTTAACTGTGATATCCTCTTCTTCAGAAGTAATGTCATCACCAACAGAATTCCTCCTACTGACTTTACCTAAAGATGAATCGTCTTCATTTCCCTAAAATAAAAGCAAAGATCATTGTCAGGCAAATATATATTATGTGTAAAGACCTTGACATTGACAGAGAAATAACCTGTTATTTAGAGACTTTAGGGATACTCACGCTCTGGCCCTCTTTACCAGGCACACCTTCTGTGGCCTTAGTGGAAGGCTGACGCTTTTTTCCCGGATTTAAACCCAATGGCAGTACTGACTTGGCTGCTCTGCGTCCTGAAAGTTTGGCGGGCTGAACAGCCGAGTCTGTGGTTGCGTTCACATTTTGAGTCTTTTCAAAACTGATTGGTAGGACAAGAAAAGCACATGAAACATCACTGACCGACGCTAGAAATAAAAGTTGATTTTAAATATCATGTGTGATGTTTATTTACATGTCTGGATTTGTGTGATCTTCAGGGAGTGCTGCCTCAGAGTCTTCAGGTACTTCGGCTTCACCTGAGAAGATAAAGACTTTAATTCAGAAGCAGAGGATAGTGGAGCAATAAAAAGCCACAAAGTCATTCGAATAGAAACAGAACTACATTCATTTAAGCTGCCAGCATTACAGAGGCTGCGGAAAAAAAAACATAAGTTACTTTGCTTGTTGCTCTTTGGATCCTTTTTGTTTTTCTTGTCACTTGGTTCCTCAATCAAGGCATCTGATTTATTTTTCCTCTTTCGTTTCCTCTTTGGCTCAGGAGCAGGAATTCCTCCCTCATTGCTCAGGTCATCATTCTCTTTCTCTCCTCCCTCCAAGTCCGGTATTTGATTCTCATCTTCCTTCTCGGCATCACTCAGATTCTTTCCTAAGATAACACAAGATAGGGCTGTAACTCAAATAAAATTCAAGTTATGAGTAAATAACATAGCGCAAACAGAAAATGGATTCATCTTACCTTTGGCCTTATTCTTGTTCCTCTTGGATGTGTTTTTCTGAGCAAGTGACCTGAGCTTTTTCTTGTCTTTTTGAACTTCCAAAACTTTCTCTAGCAACTTAGAAAAGTACTCAATGTCCAGTTTACGCCTCTCTCCTAGGAAATAACAGTTAACATATCAGTTAATTTAGCATCTGTGCTGAATCATCATTTTTATGCAATTTATAACCAGCTGAAGGTCAAATCCAAATAAGCACTCACTGAAAGCTTTGTCAACCCTCCAGGAATTAACTCGCTCTTCTTTTTTGAATTTATTCTGAAAAAAAATAGACTTTTGTGGAATCCAACAAAAGAGGTAGATTTTTATGATCTGAAAAGACATCGTAGTCCACAGTCATCACTGACCTTAATCTCAGACCGAGCTCTGTGTGGAAACAGTTGACAAATCATGGAAAAGTCTGTCCCAACCATGCTAACTGCCAGGAAGAACATGTCTGTCTCTGATGAAAAGAAAATATAAAAACAAGTATAAAGCACAAAGGGAAATACTGCACAAGCTACAGACATTTTGTCCATCAGCTCCATGGATCGATATGCATGTGAATCTAACCTTCAATAGACCAGGGTTTTGTGTAGGTCGCTTTCCTGAAACTTGAGTAAGTCGTAGTGGAACCACGTTCAAAGATGGGATCTCGGTCCTGAGCTGGGTTCGGCCCTTTGGCTCGCAGGACTTCCACCGTTAAGCTGAGATGTAAAAAAAAGAATCAGATAAATCAATGCAACAAATGGCTCAGTTTTTTTCACGTTCACAGAAAAATTGAAAGGAGATGGTAAACAAATCTGCACTGACCTTTCTTCATCAATGATTAACGAGCCGTCTTCTGCTACTTTGACCTGAGGAACCATGAGCGCCTCCTCGTCTTCCTCTTCTCCATCTGCTGCCACCTCCTCCTCTTGCTCTTCCTCTTGCACCTCCTCTTGCACCTCCTCTTGCCTTGAGCTCACTTTGATAGGGTTCCTGGTCTCAGGTTCCTGAGCTCGTTCAGGGGATCTTCAGAAAGCAACATTTATACCTCTTTATGAAAACCATTTCTATGATATGAGACCTAAGGCGGAGCTATGGAAACAGATGCAAATAAAGCAGTAACACATTTTTCACACTACATAAGCAATCAGATTTCGTTGGTGCAGAATAATACCCGGTTTTATGAACATACTTTTAAACCAATTTCAGATTTACTTGGTCTGAATGCATAATTCATTAGTTTAGAAGAGTGACATTCAGGATGCGTTTTGTGGAATGTGTTTATTAAAATCCAGGCTTGTCTCTCTGTGTTTGTTTTTAACATGAACACTCCAGTGGGGATTTCAAAATTATGATTAAATCATGATTAAAAAAAAAAGCATACCTCATTCTTTCTGGTGAAAAGTGGACCTCAGTCTCATTTTCCAGAGCAGTTTCTTCTAAACTGCTCCTGTAAAATTTTCAAAATTACCTTTATCAATACCACATCAACTCTGGAGCAGAAACTAAAGTGTTGCTACCGAGTTTGACAACACTACCAGATACTTACGTCATGGGATTTGATGTTGGAAGATAATGGATTAGGTCCCTCATGGTCATTTTAGTGGGATCTAACGTAAATTCCTTGGAGCAGGCCTTAGCCCTTTTGAGTTTCTGCAACATAAAGTCATAGCTCTTGTCTCAATTGTTCATATACACAAAAAATGGAACAACCTTAATTATATTTTGCACGTTAAAAAAATATCAAAATCTCATAAGAGCCTACCTTTTCTTTCCATCGCTCTTGTCTGAGCAACTCTCTGAGTTTCTGGGCCTTAACCAGCCTCTGTAAATCAGATGGGCTGTTTAGAAGTCTGCTCAGGGAAAGGGCTGATGGTGTCAGAGACACCAAACTTTTGGATGACACCAGAGTCTTTGCTTTCTCTGAAATTTCTGTAGCTTCTCTATCTGGCAGAGAGGGTGGCACTTTATCTGGTGGTCTGAGAGAAACTTCTTTGACTTTACCACCTGAAAGGTTTTCAGTTTGCTTGCTACCGTCTGTTGGTTGATCTGTTTGTTTAAGTAAACTTTCAGCCGATTCCACCGAAGAAGAATTCTCATAGGACGTGGGAGTGAGTTTAGTTTGTATTTTGGTTTGCTTGCTGTCCTCAGAGTGTCGTTGCCGCCTTGGGGACTGAAGTTCCGGAGGGGCTGCTGTCGTACCAGCTTGGCTGGATGTTGACGGTTTATCAGAGTCCGAGCCAGTGACCTCAGCAGTCGTCTCACTGACTACTTTGATGGGTGATTTTGGAGTTCGGGAGGTGGATGGGCGACCGGGGGCCACTTTAGGCTTGACAGAAAAACGTTTCCTTCTCTGGAGTGCTGCTGATGAGCTGGTGCTGTCCCCATTTTGGTCATTCCCATTTCTAAATAGTTATGATGAGACATATTTTCATTATACACAGTTAAGTCACTGACTATGGATTATAAAACAAAGGGGAACTCTTTTGTCACCTACCCTGGACATGGGGCCTTTTCTGATGGGGTCACATCTGTGTTGCCCGTGACAGTGGTGGTACTGTTGCTCTCATCAGCTTCTTTTGGGTTTTCAGTGGCCGCCTGACCTGTAGTTGGGGTTTCTTGGGGTGTTGACGCTGATGTTCGTCCTGCGATGCTGACATTAGGCCGGACACTAAATCTCGACCGGCGCATCATTTTCACCTGAAAATGGGAACATGAAGGAGAGTTTAGGTTTTATTGAATTGTAGGTGGCACCATAACATGCTCAACAAAACTTTTGTTTAGATCCCAGACTGAAAGAAACACATTGGTATTATAGCTATGTCTCCACAGCTGGACAGTACAATTTTCACCCCTAAAAATATAATATAAAAATATATTGTGACTATAGGGAGTTTTAGTTGGTAATAGATAATTGCCCAGTATAAATCTTTTGTCGTGCTGTTCTGTACTAACATAAAAGAAACTTTGCAACCAACCATCAGTGCATCCTCATTGTGAATCGCTATGCATTTATTGTTTTTTTGAAAGCTCAGCTTTTTGGCTACCTGGGCTAATGACGCTGACAGCAACAATGGCTGATTTCAAGGAAAAATAACATGGAAGTCTGACAAGCTGGTCCGCCTTTATAAGAACAACTGAATCTATAAAAACGTTTCCTTTATGGACTTAACAAGTCGAAAACTGCACAACTCCCAGCTTAACAACACTTCTAACCGTCCGACACCTGAGGCGGTGAGACGTATTACTTAAATTTAGGAAGCTACATTCATGTTTCAAATCAAGCCAGCATGTGTTACTTTGCTAGGAATAGCGTACCTGCTCAAGAAAACGTGTTTTTCTTTTTGGAATAAACAAATAAATACCGAAGAGGAGAGGCACGTAGCGGAACCCATGCACACACTAATCCGCCATCTTTTCTATATCGCGATAATATCGGCCGCAGAGTGGGGTTGTGGGAAATGTAGTCTGTGGGGTAGAGAGTTCAGAATGAGGCAAGAGAATGCAATGGGGACTCTCCAAAGAGTCCCAAACAAAATACAACCAAATAGCAATATTATGTATGCTGATATGAGATTGAGCACAAAATACCATTACAAATGCAGTTATTTAAGAAGGGTTCAATATTTTGTAGATTTAAAATGTAACCAAAGGGAGATTTTGCAATTGATTGTATTTCTTAATAATTTCACCTGTATAGAAATGTTATTTAATAAACAAAAAGTTGTATGTAAGAGTTTCATATTGAACGAATATATGAAAAATAAAATCCTCCATCTTCCGTGTTTGTACTGTAGTTTTTATGCCACAAGATGGCAGTAGTTAGGCGTATACGTAGGGAAGCCCTTTTCCGCCACTGATGATTAAAAAACCATAGCGATGAGATACTATCTCATAATAATGACATAGCTAAGTCATAATTAGGAGTTGTTTTGTCATCAAAGTGGTGTGCTTACACATATAAATGGGCCTAGTATTGTCAATGCTGATGTCACTTGAACACATTTTACACTGTAGTCAAAGTGCATTTTCTAAAAATCCCCTTACCGCAGCAATGTTCCATAGCACTACCTGGCACTATAGTTTTCATTTTGCATAGGTGTAATTACAATAAAATGTAGACCTTGCAACAAAATGCTTACTGCAAAATGGAGGTCACAAAAAAACTGGGTGTTTCTACTAAAATACTATTTATATTATTCCGTAGCTCTTCCTGTTTTATGCACACAGACATATATCACGGCATACTTTGTCCAGTTGTGGTAACTTCCCTTTTTCTAAGACTATTTGAACAACATCTTCTCTCTCTGTGTATTTGTTGAATTCACAGTTCAGATTAAATGACTAAAGATATTTCAGTAAAGGGTGATATTTTGTTGATGTTTGTACATGTACAAAGAGTAATACATATGCAGTTGCATTGTTGCAAAAGTGGACTAGCTGCCTACAAGAAAATATTCTCGCTGTGAAACGAGATGTGTGACGGGAAAGGAAGTTATAAGGAGCCCCATTTTGTTCACTGCCTCAAGTGTTTCTGTTAGAAAAATAAGCATGATATTAGCAACATGTGTCATAGTCACCAACCAGCTTTGAGTGTAAGGTGTGAAACATCCACGTCCTTTTGCCTTTCTTAGATTCTGCAGTGAAATGACAGAGAAAAGAATAAAACACAATGCAGATAAACCATTTTTCTGAAAGTGATATAAGTTCAGTTTTAACATTCCAATTTATAAACATCAGTGTTCCCACAGGGATCGTGAGCTGTCAAGGCACTGTGTCTGTGTCCGAATGGCCACTGACAAAATTACAAAATTAATTTGCACATGTTTACTTATAAAGACATTTGCTGACAATTTGAAAACTACATTCTTGCTAGATAAATTTTCAGTGTGCCACTAAATGGAATAATCTCACATTTTACTTCTTCATTCACATTTCAACACATTTCTAAATAAGACAATTATGCACCTCCTATGTTTCTGCAGCTTTCAGTCAGTGTGCCTTAGAAGTTTATCAGTACAGGAAATAAAACGTGTGATGAGCACTCTACACTCACGAAAGTAGGTTAGTTTTCTTCTGTTTCAACATGAGTGGCTCAGAGGATCATTTGTGGCTCAGACATGCAACAAGTTCCAAGAAACTTCCTCTTTTTTATGGGCAATGGTAAGATGAATTTTCAGTGTTTTTCTCTTTCTCTCATAATAAAAGAACTGTCTGAAAATTTATTAAAAATCATATAAAGTTTAAAAAAAAATGTTTTTTTTTGTGTTTTTATCATGAGATATTTTTCTTTTTCATAGATAATCACATCTTCTCCTCGTTTTCAAATACCACAGGTCAGTATGTTTTACAAAATTACTTTAATATTTTAAAGCTTATTATCAATATTTAATCTATCAAAAAAATGTTTTTCCTTTTTTTCTTTGGTAGTAATCTCAGAATAGATGGGCTTTCTGTGTGCTCTGAAAGAGATAAAATAAATTACAATATGTGGGGAAATGATAAACGGTCTCTAACTGATGGTGAGGTGCTTTGCAGACAACTAGGATGTGGGACAGCACTGGAGGCTCCTCGATTATCTTGTTTAACCCTTTAAAGCCCGATCCAAGAAAGATAGGAAGAATATTGGATTTTTTTTGTCCGAAGTCTTTCTTTGGCCCCTCAACAACACATGAAGAAAAAAAAAACAGAAAATATTTTGATCAAATTAGCGTGTAATAAGTCAAAAATATATTTCGGTGTAGTCTTCTACTGGCTGTTATCAGGTATATCTGAATGTGTACAGCAGGGGTTTGAGCAAAGCTTTTACCACTGAATGATGCAAAAAATTTCAGATCCAAAAGACTTCAGAAACCTTATGTATCAAATATGATACATTTGGCATTATAGGGTTAAGTCAATAGTATGGAGAAGTAACAGTAACTGTGCAGGAACAGAAAGGTTTCTAAGAGAATGCTTTGACAGAGAATTTGGAACCAGAACTGTAAACATGATTTGGGCGTATCGTCCATATCCTCTATAATCCCACACTGTAACATAGACTGATTTTATCATTTATGGATAATGTCAAACGGGCGGTTTGAAGTCTTAATACATCCTGACAAAAAGTCATTTTAGGCTATTTTCCAGGGTATGAAGTCCTACTGAAGGAATATGAGAAGAAATACTTGAAATGAGTGAAACCGATGCTCAGTTATGACACAATCTCTATACAAACAAGCATGACACTAAAAAGTTTAACACCTGAGAACAGATATTTGTGCATTCCATGTCATAAACAGGTGATCCAGTCTCCTCTCACAGTCCAGACACATACTGGTAACCTTTATTGTAAGATCTGTATTGGCTTTAAACAAGATTAAAGGGGGTGAAATGACTTGTTTGTAGTTGTGCTGTTAATTTATTTCTAAACTAAAATAATTCATGTTGCATTTCTAGGTTAAACAGCATGCAGATTAACACTGTTTAACATTGACATTGTTTACATTTTTGTTCACAGAATTGCAAGACTTTGGCATAGTTTGTGGTTTTGAATATTAATCACATGTAATGCAGAATGGAGCACATTTCCCAAATACCATCAGATTTTTTGTCCTCTAGGGCCCCCGATAGCGCTGATTGTTTCTGTGGCTGGTGGAAACCTGTTGCTTCTGCTGGTGATCTGCATTGCAGTTGGTCTGGTCCTGCGGAGAAGACGACAGTTTAAACCGCCTGATCAAGCTCAAAGTCTGTGTTCACAGGGACATACATTTCCACATAAGTATTCTGGGTCTCTTGTGATGTAGAAATTGCGTGCTTTTTAAATTTGAGTTTTACATTTTCAAGGCAAAAACTTTGGTCGTTTGTTGTTTCAGTGACTATCGCAAACTCTCGTGAAGAGGCTGAAGACGAGGAGGACGAGGAGGAGAGAGATTATGAGAATATTGAACAAATGGACAACACCCGAGGGACTATAGCAACACAAGGAGCAGAGGATGATGCTCTTTCAAATGATTATGAGCCTGTGGACTGTGACGATGTTTGCCAGGATGCCGTGGTGGATTCTGGTACAGAATATAGCAAAAGAGAGGAACATGAAGTTGAGGACGACACCAGCAGTGATGAAAATGATTATGTAAACTTAGCAGAGTCATTTGCAGAACAAAGTTTAGATATTTATGGAGGGGAGGATGTTTATCAAAACATTTAGTTTTTGATTAATCTTAATCTGAATTGGGATGCAACTCAAATCTACATCCTGACCCAGCCACTGTTTTTTGTGTTAAAATGTTCTTTATTCTTTATAGCTTCTTCCAGCACCCATTAGCACAGCTACAGTTCGTCTTCTCCTTAAACTTTCAAATATCCTTATTTTCAAATTACGTATATCAATGTAGACCTGAAATAAATGTAACTTGTCGAGGAGAATGATGGCATAGAATACTAATAATGTTTGGAGTCTGAGGTCATCTGCTGGATGAATTGAAAAATGCAATTATTAGGTATCCTTGTTCTTTCTGGATGAAAAGTTAAGAAACAAGGCAGAAAGGAACGCAATCTTGAACCAGATGCACACCTGACCTTATACCCAGGGGTGGATTTTGTGTGAAACCATGTCTTCGTAACTTGACCAATAAATTACTTTCCGACATCATACAAGTGTTAATTATTGAAAAAAGTGCATTTCAAAGAGCCATATTTGCAAATGGATACATGACACTTCTTGTAAGATTGTTTCATGTTCTAACCATTGTATGATTTTAAATTGGCTAATGTGGAAAACATTGAAAATGGAGCAAAAAGAAAAAACAAACATGTTTTATCCCATGAGCTGGGATAAAGCACCAACACTTTGCCCTGATGGTTAAACTGAATACTGTCCAAATCAAACACAGCAGACCTTTCTACCAGGCATTAGTCCAAAGTAAATAGAAATATTTCTGTAAGACATGGGACTTTCAGTTAATCCACACCCAACTGATAACTGCCTGCCAAATCTGAAAAGGGAACCTGTTGGATTACAAACTATAAAGAAGGCAAAGGAATGCAAAGCTTGCAGTGTACTGATTTATTTCTTTAACAAAGACAACATCAGCAGTGAACCCCTGAACATTTTCCCACACAGAAAGATTCTTTCTTCAGCAGATCATGACATAACATTTACTTCTTGGATCAGTGGTCGTCAGAAACAGGGGCACTATTAGAAACATCAGAGGAAGAGGTGTAAAAAAAGGAAAGTTCAGGACAAGAGCAAGAAGAGTCCATCTTTTGGATTGTCTGGCACGGAGTAGCTTGTCCCAAAGTTGTTTCGTGTGAGAGTTTTTCCCTGCTAATCTGTAATGGCAAAAAACATTTAAAAAGACATTTCATATTTTTTTATTTACATTTTTTTTTATTTGAGAATTTAAAATAAGGAGGAAGCATTAAGAGCTACTTACTTTATTCAAATCTCTAGTCAAGCAAATGGATTTCCAAAGCCACTCCCAAAAGCATCCATTGAACCAGTCTGACCGACAGAAGTATTCTGCCATTAGCAAGGGAGGGGTTGAGAAAAAGAAAAAGTGTTTAGTGAGAGCTACCATTTTATTTTGGGCTTTTTGTGGAAGAAGTCAATCTCTTTACCACAGGTACAGGTGGTGATCCGAACAGACTGGACTCTTGGGACCCAAATGCTTGATCAAACATGTCCTGATTGAGGCCGAGCCCCGATGGTGCCGACATGACTGGAGCAGAGGAGAAAGCAGCATCAAGGAGGTCAGGGTTTAAGCTGGGAGGTGGGGCAGCAGAGGCAGGTTTGAGACCATCTGCAAAAGCACATTAAAACTATTAGTGGCACGTCTCAACCCTAACATGGGGGGGTGGGGTCCGTTTTACAAACAGTTTAAAATTGGTTACCGTTATTAGCAATGGAAGAAATTTGACCGATATCAAAGTCGTCATGATCTGCAACATCCTGAGCAAGGCCAACTTTACTGGAAAAGTACTGATCAAATGCTGCTGGCTCTTTGCTGCTGGGGTCAGGAACAGAGCCAAGGGTGACCTCCCCTTTCCTTGCTGGGATGGCAGGGGGTTTGGCAAGCTGGAAGTCCTTGAACATGTCCTTTCCAGACTTCTTCTCTTTGTCACCGAGAGGATCCAAAGCTGTAAAGGCACTATTCTCTACTTTTCGGGGGGCTTCCTTAGCGGGCGGCCTTGGAGGAGGGCGGGATGGACCTTGCGGGTCACCCATTCCTGAGAATGCACCGGGCTGGAAAGGATTGGGTGCAGCGGGCGGACCCCAAGAGAGTTGGGGTGGAGAGAGAGGCGGTGGGCTAAATTGCTGTGGCACCTGCGGGCCCCACACTTGGCCTGGCATGGGAAGACCAAAGGCAGGTGGCTGTGGAAAGTTTGGCCTAGGCCCTGGAGTGGTCACACCTGGCATAGGAAACATGGAAGGTGCAACAGAGGAGGCTCCCCACATGCCTACGGCAGGAGCATTCGTCGTAGCCGGTGGTCCCAACTGCAGATTTCCTGAATGTAACAGGGGGGGAAAAGTAGATGTTTCAAGAAGAAATCCAGAGGAAAGGAGGAAAAAACCAAAAAAGAAAAACATGGGGGTTAGTTCTTACCCAGAGCAGCAATGGAAGAAGGGGCAGAGTTTGTAGGTGTACTGTTGAAAAAGTCAGCTGGAGCAGAGGAACCCTCAGAAGGAGCACCAAATAGCTCTGCTCCAAACAGGTCACTTGATGCAGACTAATCCAAGAAGAACAAGTAGAAGAAAAAAACACACTATAAAAACAAATTTATGGAATGTGCATTTAAGAATAAACCAGCCTTTACCAAACAACCTTTCCCCAGTCATGCAGTGGCATGCCCCACCTCTCACCAGCATTTTAAACCCACTGAAGCATGAACATTAGAATAGATCTTAAGCATAGATTAAAAAAAAAATGGATTAGAGCCGTTCAGTAGGCAGAGTCAAATATAAATATGTATCTACCATTACCTGTATAAACCCAGATATAAAAAATATATATAAGATATATATAGATGCAGACACAAATCTCTCCAGCACACACAGACCATTACATTACCTCAATGCTCAACATAGGATGAAATTAACACCAAATGTGTAGAAAACCCATTGTAATGCACAATGCATGCAAACCCACCAATTTCTGTTTTGGCTGTGAAATTTCACCTTTGCACTCCTTCGACCTCGTCCAGACTTAGAGCTCTGTGGAGGCGGACTTATAACAACTGAATCCTTGCTATGAGTCGCTGGTGGTTCTGGACGATGAACGGTGCCATTAGAGATAGGGGAGGTTGTCAAAGAGGAGTCAAAAAATGGGTTTTGGGTCAAAAGAGCCTGTGCACATTCATTCCCATCCATCATGGAGATTGTGGTGCACTGAGTTATATTGCCCCCTAGTGGCCACTGTCCGTTATTCAGAGCAGAGATCATGGACCTACTGGATAACCCATTCATCTGCTGACTAAGATGTTCAGTATCTCTATCCAACCCAATCTTTAAAATAGCGTTACTGGTGTTGCTAGCAGTGCTGTATGCTGTCGCATTATCTGGTACAGAACTAGTGGGCGATTTAGAAAGGGGGTCGTCTCTGAAAGGGTCACTGTCCGGAGCTGGGAAGTAGCCAAAAGTAGAGGAAGTGTGATACTCTGTGTTGGGAGATGCTTCGCTGTCAGGGCCAAAGGACGTTAAAAAGGAGTTTCCCTTTATGCAGTTTTGATTGCTGTCAACTTCAGCAGAAAAGTCCAGCAAGAGAATGTCATTAGAGTCCTGGTTAACATGAAAGGGACAGTGAGAGACAGGAGAATCATGAATCAATTCTGCACAAAGACAAAGGCGTGTTAACAAAATGAATGAAAGAATCACACGGTGCACAGACATGACTGGTTAAAGCTGCTACCAGAAGAATGTTTTTTTTTTTTTTTTTTTACATAGTCTACTATACATGTCGTAGGATATCAAAGTTCAGAGTTTAAACTGAACCAATTCTACTCGTAGCAGCTTTAAAAAAAAGTTAAGATGGACAACATTGATATTGGTAAACATGAGATTTAAACTCGGTTCTTAAAAGATTAAATAATCCTGATTCTTATCTATAAAAATATTTATTCCTCATTTTAAGAACAGAGTTTGCACTAAATAAAAAACAAAAAATGTGAAAGACAATGAGGTTATTCAGTGAGGTGATGATTAAAAAGGCATTCAAAATATTCAGAAAAGTTTTACATTACTAATGACTAGAGAAAGAAGCTAGATAATAAAAATGGTTTGTAAATGAAGATGTAGAAGGCGAACACTGGATCTAGAATACCCCGCCACGCTTCCTTGACCAAGTAAAATTCCAGTACGTCATCCGAATTTAGAAACACTCTGACAAACCACTTACATTTGGAGACTGAATGTCTGGAGGGGTCGACATGTCTCCAAAAAGGTCAAGCTGCTCCACTGGCTGTATATCAAAACAGAAAAAAAAATATATTTTTTTTTTTAAAAGGGAGGCATTCATTTTTAAATTCATGTTTTCAAAGCAGCACATTTTTATGAATCCATATTCTTACTTGTGCAGTTTTTCCTCCTTTGTCCATAGTCAGAAAGGCATCATTTCCATTCTGAACATTAAGAGAGAATTAAAGAGTGTAACAATTTGGTTAACCCCCCCTTACACACCTCAAATCCTTACCTGTACAACTGCATTGCCATTTTCACCCTGTAAACAGAGGCTGAATGTTAATGTTTTTTCCTAAATTGTGTAGCATGTCATTTCAGTGGAATGTTGGATGCGATTCACTGAAAGAACACAGAGAGGCAGTGTTGAAGCTCAGCAGGAACACAGTATACCCTGCCAGCCCTTCCAAACGACAACACCAAATGCTTTTATTTCAAAGTGAGGGGAAAAAATTATCCAGCCTCAATACAAACATTACCTTTTGTGAGGATTCTGCTTCTTTCTTTCTCATGTTGAAAATGACCTGGAAGAGATCTTTCAGATCGATGACCAAGGGCTCAGCCTGCATGGAAACAAACACATAATCAATTCATTGATGTTGGCCCATTTCTTGGTTTTTGCAGCTCCCCCCCCTGTGCCTTTGAGTGTCACCTGTTGAGCAGTTTTTATGGCGAAGAACTGATGCTGTCCTTCTGCTCCACATACGTATCCAAATGCCCTGTTATCAGTGACATCTCTGGCAATGAAGGAAATCTTAGTCACCGGATGCTCTTGTTCAATTACCTAAGTGATATAGACAAAAAATAAATCAATCAATAAATTAGTACAACCATTTAACTTCATATTTGAATTTCAAGACAAAGAAAATTAACAGCTTACCCCTGATTTTTCATCAATTATCTTTATACCCGACATGGAGATGTTGACCCAGATCCTCTGTTTGTGCTTTCCTTGGGACCGAGCAGCTACTGCCATACCCTGCAGCCAATCAACAGTTAGGTTCTCTGTTGAGGCCCACATTTCACATTTCCTCAAACATATTTCAGTAAAAGCCAGAACATTTCTTTATGGAAAAATTAAATGATCCCTTGTGTACTTGTATACCATGGCTTACCTTCAGTTTCATCATAGAGTCCTGGCACATCTTGTCTCCACGGGCCTCTGGAACATCGTCAATGCCAATCAGCTTAGCCTTGTACCTTATGCCATCCCCTTGAAACCTGCTCAGCAAGTACTCATCTGTCTTCTCAGGCACTAGAAAATAAGTTTATGGCAATGCAATTAGAAAGTAATTAGTTAAACCCAAGTTACTCAAGAAATGACAGCCAAAAACACTGGGCAGTAGAGGAGCAGTTTAAAAAAAAAAAAAAAAAAGTGCATGCTTGAGTCATCACTTTAGTTTGCTACAGGAAGCGTGTTATCAGAATCCTGCACCTCATTACTGACTGAAGCAGCTCTCTGCTTCTGGACATTCACTTCCTGGTTCATGTCAAGTGTTTTTAATAATTAGAAATGGTCTCCAATAACAAGTTGCACCAACAAAATAAAGCCCTTTTCCTTCTTTCTGCTGCATAGCTCATTACACAGATATGGTAAGCAAGCAGGAAACTGTTTGTCTAAACTAGATTGCAGGAAGTAGAGTTAATTCTACAATGTTCTTTTTACTCTGAAGGGAACACACACCTGGGACTCCAAAGAGAGGGACGATCTGTAACTGCAGCACATTCTCGTTCTATTTCACGTTTTAAATATTTAAACATTCTGATACATGCATGCCAAGCTGACAGAAGTGGGTTGTGTGTTCTCTGGTTAAACGGATAACCAATTAGGAAAGACAAGGGGGTTACCACTTCCTGTTTTCTCAGGAAAAGCCATAAGTTTAAACATAATACTTAAGTGATTTTTTTGTAACTCACCTCTCTTCCTCTCTTTTTTGAATGGAATTTTGGATGTGGCTGTCACTGGGGAGCTGGGTGGGGTGTTAGAGGTGGAGGCTGTAGTTGGGGAGCTGGGGTCAGCGGCTACAGACACGCTGTTTTCCACCTCTGCAGACATGGTGTGTGGTCAGCCTCACTGGTCAAGCGACAGGTTGAGCAGACAGCAGCGCCGTGTTCTGGGGCAGTGATGTCAACTGAGCATATGACTCTTAACACCCACACATGCTTCCCTTTTTGTTGGTCTGGAGCTGAAAAAGTGAAGTGGACAGGGAGAGGAAACTGAGACTGGAAGGCCAAAGATTACAGGTAAAGACCCACTGATTCAAAGTAAACCTACAAACTAGATATTGGATCGTAAAAGCTTCACTCAAGATTATTTTTCTTCCACATAATAAGCAATTTAGTTTTTTAACAATGCATAATAAACATTTACAATCACAGAAAAAAAACATCAAAGTGAGATGGATAACATGACACATGACCATTGAATCATAATCATAAGACTAGACTTTAAAAATTCAATGTTAGACAAGTTCAAATAAATACTTTTGTTAAAAACCAAAAAATCAATGAATTTAGAACAATTATAAACCACTGAAGCAGACAAATCTGTAAATTAAAGTCCAATCACGTGACATTTTTAGACAAATAAAGAATCTTGCTGTATCTGTAGCTTAAACAGCATCAAGGCAGTTCAAATGCATACATGCAAAAGTCAACATCAGTTCAACCGTCAACCTAGTTAGAGTCACAAACACAGACGAAAAGACGATGAGCGAAGACACAAACTTTAATATCACTCATAGGGAACCACTGCCACTCAAAGCCATCTATATCCCCTTTTCTCAACTATGTTTATTCATTCTTAAACATTACAACCATAACTTGGTGTTTAGGAGTCAGTGACAAATGATATCCATTCAGCCAAATTTAAAACAATACTCCTGCTAACAATAGCTTGAATCCTGCTCTGACCAACTATAAACATACCTTTGGGATCAGCTCCAGAGGCACCACTGACTAAAACACCTGTGCGAGGAGCCTGTTAGTACTATAAAGCAGACCAAAGGTTGAAAACGGACAAAGGTTGAGCAATGAGCTGAGGTTAATCTTACGCTAAAAAGGAGCAAAAGATCTCGTGATGCCCAGCTAAGCAAGCAGGTTGAAATGGAAACGGAAGCCTTTAGATGAGAAAAGCAGCCCCAACAATGTTTCCTAGCTTTGTTTTTTCCAAGTTGTCTAAAAAATAAATGAAAAAACTCAAAATTTTGCCCAATGGTAACTAAATGCAGAAGAATAATTTCGGCCCATCAAAATATCACGTAGAAAGAAGGTTTAAACGAAAAAGAAAAAAAAAAAAAAGATTACCAAGTGAAGTTTCAGCTGTGTGTCGACAATTACCCTCTATGAGAAACACCTGACCATATGAGAGAAGACAGAGTCTGGAAAAGCTGTTCGTTAGATTTTAATTATCAGTATCAGAACGGCTCCTGTTCAGCTGTAAAACTATAAAAACTTGCCTTTATCTGGTTCAGAAATCATGACAACCAGTAAAATAGGCACTTGTGCTGGGTTGTAATGCAAATCACTGCGAGCCAATCATGCTGATTTTGTTGCTTTGTGCATGAGGGCGACCTTTAACTATGTTGGTTATGCACTTGCAAACATCTGACACATGATTTCAATTGTCCATCAACCAAAGCCAAGAGGCAAAGTGCCATTAACACGATGAGTGCCTACTAAAAATGGTGTCATGTCAGCACTTCTATGTAGATTTGAGTTAAAGGTTTACATTTTAACAACCATCCCAGGAGTTAGCCATGACTGAGAAGAAAAAATCTGGAGCTTCTTTTTTTACAATGACATCCATTCATGTCAAAATATAAACACTTTACCACAGAACAAAAGCAGAGATTTATATTTGTCAGCAGAATAACGGTAGTGAAAGGGCAGAAATGTCACAATCCTAGGCCGTCAGGAAACGTAAACGACTGCACATCTGGAGGAAATCAGGGAATGACTCAGTCTGCAAGTGAATGAGATGGTGAAATACCACAGGCCCAGTGTGAACACACAGAGCAGTCAAAAACATTCAAAGCAAATTAAAACGCTTTTGAACTTAAACTTGAGTCTTTTTGTTGGGAGAGAATGCATATGCAAACAAACACGGGGGATGGTAGGGATAATGTTTGAGTCATGGAAAGAAAATATCCGGAATAAAAAAAAAAAGATTAAAAAAAACAAGAGGGCAGAAAAAAGTACCTCGTTTACGAAAAGGACCTCAAATGACTCATAAAAAAAGCAACCAAACCAATTCATACCAAGATGCGCCACTCTCAATCCTAACTTAGAATAAAAAAAACAGCGGTTATTGTACACAATGTATACGTTTACCAAACCAAAAACAACTTGTTTTTAAGTTTGTCATCCCGTTCGGATATCCATTCGGAGCCACTTCAGTACAATTCCCTGCAGCACTTTGTTTTTCAGACTCCCCAGTTATTACTGGAATGGAAAATACAGTCAGACAACACAAAGACTTACCTGTAGGAAAGCGCGCAGTGAGATGTGGAAACCCTGTCCTTTCTAAAGCGGATTTCTGCAGTCCGGATGACTCCGTGGCTCTGCTGCAAAAAATTAGGAAGAAAGAAAAAAAAAAAAGAATCATACGCAGCTTCGGAAAACTAGCAAGAGTCAGATGTTTTCCGCTAAATACCGTGGACGGAGAGGACAGACTGCTCTGAGCTCCCCTGTTAACCCTTCACTGACTGACAGGACTGATTCCTTGCAGATTTCAAATGGAAAAGGGGGTGGGGGGGGGGGGGGGGGGGGGGCGGTCTCTACGCGTCTGGGACAACTCTGCCAACGCATATGTGGATTTCCTTCATTCCCCATCACTGTCTCTCGGGTTACTGTTTTGTGTTTTGAGAGTGCAAGTTTAACTGTTTTCTTGTAACCAACAATATCAACATTGCCATTTTCTGCTCTCTTTGTGGCTAACAGAGAGTTAGAAGTCAGCAGTGGTGAAGGCACAAAAGGTCTTGGAGGAAAAATCCCAGTAAAATGTCAAATGTTTTGTTTCAGGAATACATTTCTGCTCTGATGGAGAATCATCAAGGCTGGAAATAATCCAACATTGATGCCATATAATGTTGTTTTTTGCAGCTTATTAAATTTGGTTACAGAAGGGCCTAATTCATACCTCATTTTTAGATTTTACATCCTACTTTGACAGTTACTGTGATAAGTATTTTCAAGTGCATTTTCTGCCATGCCAAGTTTTGGCTGGTCTCAAAATCAGGTTCATAGGCAGGCGTGGTCCATTGTCATTATTGTCTCATCGAGCAGGTAAAACAGTCAATTCCACATGTGGAATTTGCATTTTCAAGTCACAATCAATGGCAAAAAAAACTCTTAATTCACACTAAAAATTATACAAATAAAATCCATGAGGAATGCAGTAGCATAAGGAGTGGAGCAAACAATTTGGTCCCAGAAAAAAAAGAATTCACTGCTGAGGTTTGTACCGTGAAAAGACCTGCATGTCCACGTAAATAAAAATCTTCTTTACAACATCCTGCCAAAAGAGGATTCACTCTTCAGGAGGCAGACATATCATTATCCAAGTCTAGCATAAAGAGAAGACTTCAGAACAAACGAAGGACTCACCACACGGTACAAACCCTTCATAAGGATCAAGAATAGAAAAGGAGGGTGTTGGAAAACATAAAGAAGCAAAGACAAATATTCCTTTTTAAACTTTTATCAGCTGTGAAGCAGCACTCTTTGCTTAGTATAAATGTGTCAACAATTTGAAACATGACACATTTTTTTAAAGACTTGCAAAGATGTAATACTGAAGAGCTCATAGATTTTTAATCACTTTTGATTACACTTTTCACTCAATTTGGGTCATCTTCATCCAACCTACACACAGCAATCTAAAGGTGAAGATATGGAACACCCTGAAGGACTGAATTGATCTAAACTAAACTTCATGAGGTTGCATTTTCACGCCATGCACAAAAAGCCTAAGACAGAAGATTAATAGCTTTAAGAAAATGATCATTGAAAAAAGAAGCAAACAGTGGAATGGTCCTATGATGGTGTCTTAGGTTTGTTAGTTTCAGTACACACTGGGGTTCAGTGAAAGTAATCTGGCTGTCTTTGGCTGATACAATTCTATTTCTGACTGGGACACAAACATAATATCCCTCTCTGAGACAATACAGAGTCATATAATTGCCTCTGTGATAATACGGAGTCATATTACCACAGGGGCAATTACTATAGATAATAAAATGGATTTTAATTAGAAAATTAATGGGCTGACTTATTATTGGTCAAAATAACAAATCTAGTTTATTTGGGTACTTTATTTTAAAGTTTATGCTTTAATCACAATTAAACTAAATAGTAACCATTGCTGCTATATAAACCTTGTGGAAGAAAATGCTTCTGTGTAAAATTAAGGAAATAGAAATTAGATAAAGTGCCTCAAAACTGTGTGAAAAATGAGTAAAATGCAAAAAGTGATTCAATTCCAAAATTATGATCTGGTGAACAAAAGATGGAGCCTTCTTTATGAGAGACTGAACAAACATAAATAAACTAGAGTCCAAATAATTTAATTTGAGACAATACTAAATGAATATAGTTTTCATATATTCAAAAATCTATAGGCATCTTAATATGAAAAGGGGACTGAACCAAAGACCTACAGTTGCTAACAGAGCACAATTCTGGAAGCGTCTGCCTTATATTTCCTGTGCTATGTACTAATCTTACTGCAATTACATTGAACTTTAGGCCGAGAACTTCCTTTGAATAAATGTCTGTTTTGCTTTTTGATGTCAGAGAGTGCTTCAGTAATGACAGTTTTGCCATTTGCTGCTCTAAGCACTCAGTGATGTTCCCAGAAAGAAAATCTGCCAGTCGCACAGGAAATGTTTCTGCTTCATGTTTGCAGAAGCATCAACAGATGTTTGTTATGGACATTTGCAAAGAGAGCTGTGTAATTAGTATAAGCTGGGATAAGCACAAACCCAAAGAGCATACATTTATCCAACACTGGCAAACCTTTGGAACCATAACATGTACACTTGATGTCCGTGACCCGGTGCAGCTCCATCACTGTGCTGGGCGAGACTATGCCGTTAAACTTTAAAAGACTGATTTGACAACCCATTGGTTGTATTTTGTTGTGCAGTCTTTTAAAAAAAAAAGCTCCCGTGTGTTTGGATTGTTTTCAATGTTTCATTTGTTTTTGTTGGTGCACAGAAAAAACCCGACAAACAGTCTGTCCTATAACATTTCAACTTTAACAATCTTTCGTTACACTCTTTTAGACTATTTAAACGGATATCTTTTGTTCAATTAGATGGTAAAAATAAGATAAATAGAGCCTGTGATTGTCACAGCTACTTAAGGTAAAGCTGGTCTGAATAGTTTTCATGGACACAAGATAGGCCAATATGTACTGAGATAAATAATGCAGGAAAAAATGGAGACAGGTTAATGAAACAACTACACTTAGGAGTTTTAAACAAGCAGAAATGAAGACATTTTAGACCAAACTAAATTAACATAAATGGAAAGAATGGATGTCTTCTGAAGGACACTGAAGTTTGTCATTGGGTTTATTTGCTTGACAAACATACCCATGTGATATATTAATGGGTGTGAAAGAGTTTTGTGTAAATTGCTTTAAGTTTTGTTTACATTTTTGTGGTTCGTCCTTTGACCTGCCAACTAATTGAATAGCTTTGATCTGACATCATGCATCAAATGGTTACATTTGTGCTAACCGTTTATATGGTCACTTTAAAAGATCTCTGCTTTTTTAAGTACCACAAATTCATGTGTATCAAATCTACACAAACCGCAATATTTCTACTTTTAAAAAAATCGAATTCTTTTTGTCACTGTTACGCAGATTGTATTTTTACTTCTAATACAATCAAACTTCTAATCTATCAGCTGTGGCCAAGAAAGGCACATTTACTTTCTGATGTACAGTAAAGCTTGTGCTATGGATTCAGAGTTAAGAAATTAGAGAAAAGAGGACAGAGGAAGGATGTCTTTCCTGACTTGGTATCCTGTGATCTGCTGACAGAAGCTGGTTTCTTGGTTTTGAGCCCCAAAGAAAGGGATATTTTTCCTCTTGGTCACCATTAATCCATCTGAATGAACTTTTTTTTTCCAGTGGAAGGAACTTGTATTTGTTTGTACTGACAGATAAGAAAAAATGATTATTGAAAAAACTTGTAATCTCTTGAAAAAGTTTCGTCTCAAGACTAGGTAAGTGTTCCAGTGTACCATATGGTTTAAATGCAACATTAAATCAGGCATATATGAGGATCTGTCATTTCCAGGCATAGCTGATCCTTTTACCCAATTAGGAAGACTCTCCGGTTCAACGTCATGTCTGATAATCTTTTGCAAGACATGGTCGTTTCCTGTTCTTCTGAATTTTGTTGCCAGTTCAGATCACGGGCACAACTTTGCAACCTCTTACAGAAGAATGTTACATATGATCCGCTCATGTAAAACCTGAAAATGGATGGTAGAAGCAGCATTTATGAAAATAACCTATGGTTATGAAAATCAGTAGAAGCTACATAATTTCATGTGTCACTAAATAGCTTTAACTTATCAGAAACCTATAGATATATCCGTGCTGACAGAGACAAACTCTGGGGAAGTTTTCTTTCTGCAGTTTATGACAGGAAGGCCAAACAATTTAAGCATCCAGTATTTTAGGGCGTGAATCCTGGAACAGGCTGCCACCACAACCAGAACCTAAGATAGCCTCTTATCTCCAGTCCATAATTGAGGCAGTCCTAGATTTTATCCTTTGTGTCCCTCTGTGTTCTTTAACTGCCAACTGCCTTTTACGGTCCCTGGCTGTTCTTTTTCCAAAATTACAACACAAAGCAATGAGGCAAGTAAAAGCACCCCGAACACAGTCGCTGTATTCTGACACAAATGAGAAAAACTCGACATGAAGGGGTTTGACAATTACTGTAAAACTTGGCAGTGCACTGTTGTGTTTCCACAAAAGTTCAAACCTTCCCCCACTAAAAAAAACAGGAAGTCTTTCTTGTCAGGAGGAATATTAGCCAAGCACCTTACCTACCCTCTGGTTTCCTGAGAAAGTTTGGAGGAAGCTGCCGAACCTCGTAAAAGTGGTGACTTCAGCACATATTTTTGCCACTCCATCAGGCCATGACCACATACCCCCCCAGACTACCCTAGCTCTGCTCGTTGATAGGGGCAAAAATCCAGCACAGGGCAAGCCCTGCATTGACTTTGGACACTTCAGGGAAAAGTCTGACGGTGTTTATTTAAGTCAGCAGGAAAATCATTGTCAGTGTGCTGAATATTCTGGAATTCAACATCTCTTTTAACTCTCCCAGAAAGTCTGTCAACCTCTTAACTCTGTGAACCCTCCGTGTCCACGATTGAGGTACTCTAGTCTTAGTCCTTTATGCTCTGCCTTTTTTGAGATTTGATGCTACTTTCACCTCTCGATGCTTAAAAGTGCCCTTCCTTTTTAAAACGTTTAAACCCACTGCACTCTCTTTTTGTTGAAGAAATGCAGACTCTGCAAAAAGCTTCTCAGATCACATGGCAGATCACTGAGTACAGCAGCTCAGAACTTCCTGTGCCTTATGCAAGGCTTGTTTGGATCTATTCACTCTGATAAGCACTGTAAAATAAAGAAGAGAATGACATTAATGCAGTAATGTTAATATCAGTCTTTACTTTTTGTGTGTTCATTCTCTTTTAATAATAAAACTCACTCTCAAATTCTGCTGTTACCTGTCTAGTGTGGCCATCTAGTGGACAGATATTTTCACTACAGCCTAAACTCTGCTAAGCACTTTTCAAAAGTTTTTCAGATACCATCAGTTTTGTGAGTGGTCATCCAAGTAGATGAACTTGGGTCAGAGTTGGTTTCCAAATCTCAGCCGTTGACCTAAATGCAAAGGACCAATCGTGCTAATGTTTTACAACAGTAAAAAGGTGGCTTTTCCAAATATTTGCTGTCCTAGCTGAAGACCTATCTTTACACTTGCACAATATTGGAATGGGAGAGAGATAAATTTCCTCCAGTTCCCAGAAGTGTTCAGATTAAACTTGAATATGATATTTTATTTGATTCTTTTATTCTTGGTCATACAGCTAAAAGCATTCCAACCAACACTGCAACTTTTTTCACTCAACATTTTCTGATCCGTGAAACTATAAAGATGTATAAAGATTATTTTTTCTACCAGCACACATTGCAATGATTTTGGCGGGTTGTCAGTTAAAATGCAATTCTTCACATATCAGTCTGATTGTTGACCAAACTAACTGCATGAAAAGCCAAAGAGGCATTCAATATTAAAAGACTGGAGTCATTGACAAATTTTTTAATGATATGTTTGTTCTTCTCTGTGACTTCTGTTAAATCTCTTATTTTAAGAAAATATTTTTCATGCAGTATATAAAAAAAACTAAGATGATGATATATTTTGCCATATTTTCTCCCCCTGAATCTTTTTTTCATTTTTTTCCTCCTCTGATAGATCATAGTCTACATGATAAGCATATGATAGATTAATTTAAAGTAGAGACAACAATTTTCCAGACATGATGACAGAAAACTATTATCGAATCATGTTTTTACACAAACTTTACTCACACTGTGAAATAAATAGACAGTTAGTATTTCTGGTTAGTAGAAAGATGTAGACCAAAGTCTAGTCCCAAAAGCTGAACCAATATTATTGCAACAAAACTCCCAACTATTGATTACGAAAACAACAGCGCGGTCATTTGAAAACAGACTAATCATTAACAAAAGAGCAGATTGATAGAATAAATAGAGGCACACAGGCGCCGTGTTTCATCCTTTGAAAGGCTCATCATGGGGTTGCAGGTTGCACTCCAGTTGGGGTTCTACAGCCTTTGTCTGACTCTGGCACTTCTTGATTTGGGGGAGTAAGTATTTTTCTTAAAATCTTTTTTTATCCTTGTTTAGATTATTTGTCTTTTACTGGTTATTCTTTGATGCAAATGAGAATTTATATCCTAAAATATGTATATTTCAGGGGACAGATACTTCCTGAACCTGCACAGATAAACTGTGTGTGGAGTGCCTGGTCAGAGTGGAGTGCCTGTGATCCTTGTACTAAAGTCAGAGTAAGTCTATAAAGTCTGTGTGTGTTTGTACTGATATTTACCCACCGCTTTGTACACTTTCCATCTCTCCCCCAAAATGTGGACAAAAGCCTTCTGACATTGTGTTCATCTCAAATTAAAATTGATTAAATTGATGGTGCCTTTGTAATAGGTTCATTGTTTTACCCTTTGTGATATTCAGAGACGTTCACGTGGTATTGAAGTATTCGGCCAGTTTGCGGGTGATGCCTGCCAGGGATCAATTGGTGAAAGGCAGGCTTGCGTTACCACTGATAAATGTGTTGTTCCAACTGTAGCCCCTTGCCCAAACTCGGACTTCCAGTGTGATTCAGGTTAGATCAGCCTCATTCTGCATCCTCCTCCAACCGCCTACACTGATTTTGTCGTTATTGTGGGTCCTGTCTGTGTAACCAACATCTTTCTGCAGGAACATGTATTAAAAAGAGGTTGGTTTGCAACGATGACCTCGACTGTGAAGACCAATCAGATGAATATGACTGCGATACTTTACGTAAACCCTGCGGTGAGTCGGTCCTCATGAACAATGAGCAAGGCAGGACAGCAGGATATGGGTGAGTGATGCTGGAATCAATGTGACAACAAAGCCAAACAAAAAAAAACTCTGTTTACTGAAATTTTCCCTGAAAGTAACACATCTTACTACTTCAATACCCCAGGATCAATATATTGGGCTCCGCTCCTCGAATGAATCCCTTCAACAATGATTACTTCTATGGAAGATGTGATCGAGTGAGGAATCCAACCTCTGGGCAATACGACAGACTTCCATGGAATGTCGGTGTCCTCAACTATGAGGTAAAACACAGCTATGTCTCATTGGTGGCAAGCTTGCTTATGTGAACAATGTCCGTAAAAGATACCTCAGAACACAAAATCTTTCTTTCATTACAGACTCTGGTGGAGGAAACGTTCTCCAGAGAAATCTATGAAGACACACATAGCCTACTAAAGGAAATATTGCATGAAAAGACTTTTAATATAGATGCTGGATTGTCCTTCAAGTTTAGCCCATCTGAGCAGTCCAATTCAAATCTCTCTGGGTCAGTTGGTGCGGAGGGTGGATTCTCAAGGACAAGCATGATAAAGAATGTTACAGAATATACAAAAATCAAGGTAAATTTTGAAAGGTAGACCGAACTTTGATAACGCTGAAAAAAAATCATTGATCTGCACTTCTGCTTACTCACACTTCTCTTTTGCACACCCAGAACAAGAGCTTTATAAAAATAAAAGGCACAGTGCAGCTGAGCACCTACAGGCTTCGCTCCCGTGAGCTGCAGGTTAATGATGAATTTGTGCGCCATGTCAAAGAACTGCCTTTGGAGTATGAGAAGGGAGGTTATTTTGCTTTCTTGGAAGACTATGGAACCCATTACACCAAAAATGGAAAATCCGGTGGCCAATATGAGCTGGTGTATGTTCTAAATCAGGACACCATCAAAGAGAAAAGTATGTGTTGATCTAAATAAGATCTTCTGTAATGCACTTCTCCAGGTTTGTAAGTTGACTGAATTATAATTGATTGGTACACATTTCATGTGCTTCATGATTTTTGCAGAAATGACGGAAAGAAAAATTCAAGAATGTTTCAAAGCGGGCCTCACAGCAGACATTTCTATTGCGGGCGGGCCAAGTATAGGAGGACACGTGAAGCCAGATGGGTGTGATACAAAACCGTCATCAGAAACAGGTATGCTTTCATTATGTTTTGTTAGCACACAAATGACTAAGTCATGCAAATACTTCCCTTCTGTTTGGATAAAAAAGTCAGAAATTTGATAAAAGTTTAAAGAACTATTTGATGGCTCACCTTTCTCATACTGGCCACAAACTCAAATTCCATTTACCATTGCTTTATGCAAAGAAGCACTTAAATAGTGAGACTCATCTATGTGAAATAACTCCACCTCTTAATCAGTTCTAAAACACCAGTAGTTTTTGTTGTTCTGTCCATACTTGTAAAAACAGAAATACCAAGTGCTTTTTTCTGATGGCCTCATTTTGCACTGAAATGACAATGATACAGCTTGTTGGTTATTTGAAATACATACAGCTCTCTTCCTCTTTGCAACACAGAAACTCGGGACGGAAAAGCAATGGTAGACAAGGTAATGACATCCGTCAGAGGAGGAACAGTAGACACTGCTGGTGTCATGAGGGCTAAGCTGAATATCGAGGGTGTGATGGACATTAACGCATACAAGGAATGGGCCCGGTCTGTTGGAGAATACCCTGCACTCCTCAACAGTGAGGTAAGACCTAGAACCTCTCAATTAACTGAGAGGAACTGATTATAACTAAAGAAGTCTACTGAAATGGTTATTTTATTTATGGAATTTTTCTTTTATATATCTTCACCCTCTTTAAATAAATGCCTAAGTCAAAAAGGAATGTTTGAATTTTAGCCTAAGTCATTTCATTTTGTCATGGTCCGTGTTTGACTAATCTTGTATTGCCCACCCTTGTGATGTACTTTTTTCTCTTTCTATAAATGGAGTAATGTATATATTCTGTTGTTTCTGGTAGCCAGAGCCCATCTACAATCTAATTCCACTGGATGTCCCAGATGTAAACACCAAGATATCACACCTTAAGAGGGCCACGCAGGATTATTTGGCGGAATATAGCGTGTGCAAGTGTAAACCCTGTCAGAACGGAGGCAGCCCTGCCCTGATAAATGGAAATTGCATGTGTTTATGTGCTCCTCTATTCGAGGGCCTAGCCTGCCAGAACTTCAAGAGTGACAAAGCCAATAATCAAGGTAAGAAAAAGTCCAACACAAAGCATCCCAACAGATTGACAGGATTGCTCGAATCACTTAAACGTTTCTTCAATATGTTCATTTGAAATGAATTTCTCAGGTGGAAGACCTCAGGTTAATCAGGAGGGAAACTGGTCCTGCTGGGCGGCCTGGTCTACCTGTAGTGGTGGGAAACGCAGCAGAACTCGTAGCTGCAACACAGATGGGCTTGTTGGTGCTTCATGCAGAGGAGATACGAGGAGTGAGGACTACTGCTAAGACAAAAGACGACTCCCACTCTCCCACTATACCAAACTGTACAAATGAAATCTAGTGTTGGAAAATGAGGAATATACTTTCAATCAACAATAAATCAACACATATGGTTTCACACAACAATCTGTTTCTTAAAGTTAAACACCGAACTCTTCCAGTATCACACATAAATACATTTTTCCATTACTTGAAAAAATGTAATGTACTCTTTACTCCTAATAATGTATTTAGCTTCCTACTGTATCAACGGAACTCAATTTCTGGCAGCACACAGCACTGTGTCTTTTAACTTTACTCGTCTTCAACAGTATTGGCTCAAGTATGTATTAATAGGCTAATAACTCATCTTCAAAAGCATGAACACATTCCAGATGGTTTCTTTGTGCAAATGAAAACCAGATGAGTATAGGCTACTTGGACAGAAAAAGAACTAACACTAATATGAGTTGAAGAAAGGCAACAAGCGACTTAAGAGATTTTAAGTGGTTAATATAAACACAACACTGGGCATTACTTGTTATTACCAGTTACGAGAACATGCAAATGTCTAATAATCTAGAAAAAGAAACTTGGGTTTCAAACTTGGAAGAAAAGATTAATAGAAAGTCAAGATCTACAGTAATTAAAACTGATATTGGCCTGTGCCACACTAAGTGATGAAATCATCTAACTGCCACATGGAACTGCTCCTTCCATGGCTGCTCCTGATGAGGTTAATTGGCACCAGCTGGATCCACTTCAGATCATGCCACCTAGAGGAGGGGAGGGGGAAAAACAGAATACTACACTCTACAGACCTAACAAACACAGGTTTCCTATTGGAATGTTCGAACACACACCTAATCCTCTGTGACATCTGAATAGAAATTTCTGAGTCTATTGTTGCCAATCCGCATCACACTTCCTCTCTCCTTGAATTTGTATTCCTTTAACCTCTTTTAAGGATTAACAAATTCCCCATTTTCCTACTGAAGATGGTAATATCATTATTGGGAATGGGTTTTCTAATACCATGTACTAAGAGCTTAACAGGTAGGCTATATTTGTTGATTTCTGAGTTTGATCTTGCTTTCACGTTTTGTTATTTAGTAAAAATACGGCAAGAATGAGCAGAAATACTTGTACTGAAGAGGACACTTTGAAAGAGAGATGACTGACCAAATAGTGGAAGCATGAAGCAGGAACTGAGAGAATTGTGACGGTTAAAATGTTTTAGCCTGAAGCGTTTTTTTTATCATTTAAAAGGACATATTAAAATTACAGTAGAACAATGCTGACTTGGAAGATTTGCATGTAAGAATTCAAGGAGACATCATCATTTAGCACCAGTCATTAGAAAAATAATTCACTGCCTGTCCCCACAGGTGCCCCAGTCACTTCCAGTCATTACCAAAATACAGTGAGGTCCAAAAAATAATGTGTGCCCGGGTGCTCCAAGAGGAGGTGGTCATGGGTGGGTGCATTCTTGAGAAATAACTACAAGGGGTGGTGCCCCCTGTCCTTTAGGATGTCAGCATGATGAAGTAAATGTTTGGAACCTTATTGAGCTCCAAGGAGACCCCATTCACTTTAGACAGCAAACCCAGCCTCAAGCCATTATCTCATTCTAAAAAGTTTTGTTCTTTCTTAAGACTCCACAGGACAGTTTGCGCAAAATAATGAACCCACCTCTATCAATAGACTGTTTGGCTCTGTCTTATAAGATTGAAAATGATTGTTCAAAAAATAAATGGTTCGATCAGATTTCTCTCTTCATTCTGACCACTGAATTAGTTTATTACATTCTATATTTAATTCATGCACACAAAGAAAACAGACAAACCTTTTTCCATTTAAAATTAAATTTGGACTACAAAGATCAGTTTATCTTTTCTTACTGTACATGGTAAAAGAATTCAACAGGGAGCAGACAAAACTCTGTTTTGTTTTAAAAATGTGATATATTCCAGTGTCTCATTGTTCTTTTGAGTAAATAATAGGTCAGAGATCTTTTCTATTTACAAAAGGCCCCATACGTTTTGAAGAGTGTTGCGGCCATGCACCCTGAATGTTCTTGGACAACAATTGGAGTCCCCCCCCTCCCTTTTTTCTGGGTCCGTAAAGGCACTGAGGTTTAAGAGGGCTGCCACGGCAGATTACTCCACACAGCTGTTGCAGCACCGTGGAAATGAAGTTATGGCTCTTGTCAGTTTGGTTTTGTGCTTCCCCTCACACTCCTTGAAACCCTGCCCTTCAGTGAGCAGCAGGAGGGAAACAGGGGGGAACCAAAGGACAATTGTTTTCCAGCACATCCAGCAAGAGCCGTCTGATTGGCTGACTGAATATTCCTTTTTTTGCATCATCGCTCGGCGAGGCTTAAAATCCCATTGACATTCAGCCCTGCATGGCCCCTTCCCCCTTTAACCCTCAATCATAAATCAACCCCTCCTCCACCTTTTGCACCTCTCTTAAGCCTGCCTCCCTCAAGCCCACCCCCTCAAGTTCCAATTACCGTGGGTCACTGAGGTTTATTCACCCCTTTTTGCTTTTGCTAAATGTGTTTATTTCTTAACCACAACTAGTTAAGACCACAGTTGGTCGAACATTTTAAAACTTTAAAATGCAGCTGTACAAGCTTTTAAATAAGTCAGTCAGACACAGCTTTTAAATTAATTCATAGGTAAGATATCTGATTGTTTTCTCTTTTTAAAAAGAGCTCATTTAGGTGTATTTAAAAAGCTGTCACATCCATACCAACAGTACGAATGTTTGACTTCACTCCCCATCATTTTGTTGTTTTTTTCATCAATCCATCATACAATATGGAATGACTGACGAATCCTTTCAACTTTTTTTTTAGCACAACATATTGAATCCAAAACTAACAAAACTTTGCTACGATTCATTACACATTACACATTCTCTTCTTTTCAGTGTAACTCTATTTCTATACATGGAAACAATTAGAAGGACTGTTTTATTTTAGTTTTGGGAAAATCTAGATGTATTCACCAGGAGAACGTCAGCCCAAGAAATGATCTTAAATAAAAAGTTCCTCTAGAGCTTTGAGAGTCATGGCGTTATTTCACTCTTACTCCGCTGAGGAACAGTACTTGGGTTCAAATCATTTAATCTTCCAAAGAAGAAAAACATTTCCAATAAAAACATGGAGAAGATATTACAACTAACAGCCATAAAGAGAACAAGTCTCACTTGTTTCCTCTGTGAGTATTGAGTCTGTTTTCTTTCCCTTAGTATATCCTTGGGGATGAAGGATTTAAATATTGGAGGAGGTAACCTTGGCCACACACCAGTGTGAGTTATGATGAAGCCATTTTTATAAGCTTATGGTCCCCGAACTAATAGCCCAAGCTGACTATCCGTCTATTCCAGCATGGGAAAACAAACAGAGCATTCCTGTTTAAATCTGGTGCCAAAAAGTTAATAGAAAGTATTTCCAGGCAATGTATTGTCAGGGGGCCCCAATAAGACTCTCACCCCTTCATTATCCTCAACAATAATAAAACTGAATTACAATTATTAATGGGGAGATTAGATGGCGGCTCTCTTAAAGTGACAGGGGCAGCTTTGTGATTCTCATATCAAGGAATGTAACAAATATATAACATACATATTTTCACATATAATCAAACAGCTAAATTAAGTGTGAAGGTAGGAAAAATTTTCTCAGATAAAATCAATAAAAGCTTCAAAAAATTTGGCTGTAGGATACTGACTTTTGAGAAAAAATAAATCATGAACTGCACTTTGAGCATCAGCTAGAGTTTGACCAAACAAAACCAAAACTGAACTCCCTCACATCACTTTTCTGTCTTCCTCTGGGACAGCTGTCTCCTCATGCTCCCCCACTCCAAGAAAAGAATAATAGAGAAACAGAGAGGATGAAGTACCCCCGCATTGTACCACTGCACCATTGTGTATTTTGCCTCCGCATAATAGAGGTGCCACTCGACTTTTTCTACCAGTCAATGGGCTGGATGGACCCTGTCTTTTTTCTAGAATAGCAGCATGGGTCCCATCAGCGGTTTCAAGAGCTATATTGACAAGTGAAGATGGTGGTACTGTTTTTTTAAGTAAATGCAGAGAGCCATCAGAACTAGTTGTGTGTGAACAGACACACAGACACAGAGACAACCATAGCTGAATTTAAAATTGCACAGTTAATACAGGACTAATTGTCTTTATTACAGTGACTGTATGTACTTGGATCATGAAAACACTACAGCTAAATATGGCTGATAAAAAGTTCAAATAAACTTAGTCCCTAATCTGTTCTGTTTGTAACTTGAAACAGTTATTCTGGGGCAAACAAATTAAATGAGAATATATGGACCACCGTATTTTGAGTCCAAGTAAGAATTACAAATAAAACTGAAGCAAAATACGATTTAAAAACAGATATTTATTTGATATGCATAAAAATGAAGAAATCCGTGTTCATCTGGGACACTAAAACAGGACATGTGGTGAAGATAAACAAACTGAATGAAGGCTTATTGGCTCAATTTGTAATGCAAAACTTCTAAAATGAGGAGTTCACCTATTTTTTTTAATGTGAAAGTATTTTTTGATAACACTTCATACCCAAAATAACCAAATATTGGTTTTTGAAAGGACAAGTGTACGACTTTAAGAGCTTTTTTTGCAGATGCAGGATCTGCCAAAGGGGCTAAGACACATTTGAGTGGCTTACATCAACTTTGGTTTATCATTTAGTCTTGTTGCTTTCACAACAAGTGAAATAACTTCAGGCACTTTTAGATTCAACATATTTCCTTCCTGTGTGAACATAATGCCGACCACAAGGTTCACCTTTTCACACAGTGCAAATCATCTTTCACATAAAAAAAAATCCTGTAACATACAGACCAATGTGTGAAAGGTAATTAAAATATACCCCAAATGATAACTAAAATATCATTACCAGCTGAATGTTGTGTTCAAATCCATTTAGAAGCAAATAAACATACATATTCAATCTGAAAAATATTTTCTAGATTAATATATTAAAAATCAAAATGGTGGTCAGGATGTTAAACAGTGTCCGGCAAGCTGGAGGGCCGCTTGAGTTTTCCACCAAAGAGTAATCCTCGATATAATCGTCTTCTGTGTCAACTTCAGAGTCTGAATATCCGCTTCCCGCGAACCTGTCACCGGAATCGGAGCATAAAGTTTTCATACTTAGTTTGATGTACTCGCATATGTTTCTCTCCGTGCCATCGCAGACGCATGTGTCCAGCTGCTGCGCCTTGGGTATGGAGTGCATGTTGGCGATCATCCTGCGGCAGTTATCCGAACACCTCTGTCCTCCGAAAAGTTTCCGGCAGTGGAACAAATAATCCCTCATGGCAGAGCTGCAGGCCGGGTCCATCTCGCACTGCAGCCGGGCCTCGGTGCAGCCCATGGTGCTGGTCCTGGGCAGGCACGGTTCGATGCTTTGTTTGGTGGTCCTGCAGACGTGGTCCCGGGCGCAGTCGCAGTCCTCCAGAGCCGGGCCGCTCCGGGTCAGATTGAGCTGTATCAGAGAGGATATGCAGTGACTGGGACACTTCTCACTCTCCCCGCCGATGACAGACGCGCAAGCGTACATGTACTGATCGTACGCGTAATGGCACTCCGGCTCTCCGTGACACTTGAGGATGGCTTTCCAACAGACAAGGCGGTGGTTGTGGCTCTGAGATCCGCGGCTGATCCCAATGATTGGAATCAAAAGGAAGCAAATCAAAACCCCCGCCTTCTCCCTTAAGATGGCACGACTTGCCATTTCCTCCGAGGTTAAATCTCGATCTTCATAAGAGCGTCCCCATCACAACCGCGCATCAACGATGGCCAAAACAAGCCGACCATATTGAGTTCCTAAAAGTTTCAAAGTCGAAACAAAGTTCCCAGTCTCGCCCCTCACAAGGAAGCTGGGCGCTGGAGAAGTCTAAGAATTCGGAGAAAACTTTCCCCCCCATTTCCGAGACTCAGTCCATAGTTACCACGGGATCTGCGTTTCCAAAGACACTTAGTATGTCGCTGCTCACTCGCATCCACTCCAACTGCAGTTAGTTGGTAAAGCGGGCTACGCTTCAAGAGGTTGATCAGATTCTGCAGCTGGGTGCCTCTGATTGGTCCGATAAGCTGCTGGGATTCAGTCGTCACGAGCTGGCAGTGACGCAGCCACAGAAACCTGCTGCTGGAACCCACTCATCCAGCTTCATCATTGGAGTTGTTTGCATGTGTGAAAAATCAATTAAACTGACTTTCTGTTTGTCTTTATTGCATAGATAGATAGATAGATAGATAGATAGATAGATAGATAGATAGATA